ACAAAATCTAATTTATTCAGAGACTTGGTTTTATATGTCTCAGACTGTCATAAATCTCACCCTAGGCATCTTCGCTAGCCAAGGGTTTCTGATACGCTACTCTCCTCATAAACTTATGAGGAGGGTAGCGTATCAGAAACCCTTGGCTAGCGAAGATGCACCATAGGCAGTTAAAAATTTCCTCAGAAATCTGGTCAGAATTTTAAAACATAATTTCAAAAAAAAAAATATCATGGGAAAATATACGGCATATAAATAGCCATTGTACAAAATGCAGGAAACTTTCGCAGCTAGGTTAAGGACGCCCATGAAATATACGCATTTATATATTCAGGGAAAATAAATACAATTTTTAATATTTTTTTTAACAGCAGTAGTTTTGATAAATGTGAATTGTGGTAATTGCATTTGTATATATCGGGTCTCTGCTGAGTTCGGCCAAAGTGACATCGCTTACATCAGCTGTTTGTCACGTGATAGGTTTAAAATTGGACCATATATGTACTACTACAAAGATCGTAAAAGTTCAACGATATACGGACATTCTTCCGCTATAAAATTTATTTTGTTTTCTTTGAGACAAATTCCTTAACCCGAAAAGTGCTGGGAGCAACTTCCTCATGCTTGAGAATTGTTTAAAATTTAGCCGTCTTTCTATAAACCCCAGACAAAAATGTAATACGCATTGGAATAATGTTAGATTACGGAATAAATAAACAATGTACAACCAGCTCCCAGCACTTTTCGGAACAGTAGGAATAATGGCTACATGTGTTTAAAAATTCAGAATTTATAGTGAAACGGATATCCTTGAACTTTTGATATTTTAGAGGGGCTGGACCCCTCATTCTAGCACGTTACTGTACAAATGTGCTCCATGCGGCTATATATAAAGTCTACACATTATCAATTTAGTTTGACAATAAAATGTGGATTAACATATTTCAATATATGTCTCTCTTTTTGTCTAACTACGCATGTTTCGTATTTATTTTTATTTTTACAAGCCACGATAAAAGTTTGATCCACGCCTCAAATACAGAGAAACTGCGTGTCAAACTAAGAAATGACGTCATCTTAGTAAGTACAGCGAGATCAAGCTGGCTTTCATTCTGCATACGCTAAGTGCTATTATGGCAAGATAAGTTGCACATCCATTTATCTTTATAACATTTATGAGAAACGAAAGTATTTCGTGTGTTTTAAAAAGAACATTATAGTATTTATTCATCGAGATTCATTTGTATTGTTTTAACGTGACGTCATAATAGCTCTCCCAAACCACTGCATAGGCTGACGTAGATATGGGAGTCCTTAACCTAGCTGCGTTCCTGGAAAGTTTAGAAATTGAAACTGTAAAAATATTATCATACCATCAAACCATGTCCATGCTGATCAAAAGACTCAACAATGTATTAACTAACCCGATCAAAATTAAACTGAACCCGACCGAAAGTTTCTAATCTACATATGTAGATATACAAGTAATACATGTAGACTCTGCATACCAATTTTATTAAAATAAAAAAAATATTGCTTGTTATATGGTTTTATAATTAAATTGAGAGTATAAGCAAGTTAATTTCTCCATGACAACTGCATAAGATAAACAATATCTTTTTCATTATATGTAAAAAAAAAAAAAAAAAAAAAAAAAAAATGCTTAAATTGATCAGGATCTGTTTCATATGAATCAGGACTTGTTCAAGCTTGACAACAAGCAATTTTTCTTCGGGTCTCTTTTATTATTTAATTTCAACTTCTTTTTCAAATTAAGATTATCTTCTAATATTTCTTTTCAAAATGAAACACTTAATAGGTTTATAAATAAATGAAACATTAAAAAAAAAATCAATAAATACAGGCCCGTAAGAAGCAATTTCAGTTTGGGGGAGGAGGGACAGCCATGCATTTTCTTTGGGGGGCACTAACAACCAAAAATTCCTTGACAAGCTTTTAAAAAAAAGAAAAAAAGGAAAAAAAGTTGAGGTAATTCTTACTTATGTGTAGACTGATTTACTAGTACTTTCATAATTATAAATATATTCTCCCATAAAATTAGAATAAATTCATGATAAAAGAAATAATTTGCCTTGATCATGTTGAACATGCAATACATTTTTGAGTCATTTAAGTTGTTAAAGGCAAAATTCTCATTTGCCCAAATGAGAATTTGAGATACATGTACATGTACATGTACTAATTAAGTGACCTGTAAAGGTACTTGTAGATCTCTAATAAAATCTGGGAAATCAAATCAGCAGTGCTGACGGTGGTGATGTTAACTGAGTCTACTATTATAGAAAAAATATTGCAAGAATTATACAGTATATCTGTTGTTACTCAATCATGGAAAGTGTAATACATATAACTATTAACTGATATGCTCATCTCTGATATAACCTGTTAATTAATCCTCCATTCATGCCAAAAGGTACAGTGTAATAGATTGATTAGAATATCATTGGCGTATAATAATATTATTACTTTCTACTACATGTAATGTGTCGGCTAGTGTGATGTCACAGATTTAACTTGAGGCACAAATAATGGGTAAGCAAGGAGGCTGATGCAGAACTAGTCTAATATAACACTTGAATTTTGGCTTAATTTTTATTTCCAGTTATAGGATTATTTTTGTCATTAAACAGAAAGTTAGACTGTAAGTATGGGTACAAAAATGCACATTGTCAAAAATGCTTCTTTTTTTTTTTGGCATTTGCAACAAAATGAAATTAATAGATAACATTTATCATCAACTTCCCCCCCCCCCCCTTTTCAACCAAATTTCTATCCTTAAAAAAAATGATGTGTAGCCTACAGCCTTTTTACATATATGGAATATACACGGTAACACCACAAAATATTTCCACACATCCTGCACCCAAACCCCACTTCTAACCCGATTAAAAATATTAATCTGGTCCCTTTGAATTTTTTAGCAGTTTGTAGCCCTTAATTCCTCTTTATTTTTAAAGATATTTCAAAATTGTTGCTATATTGGGCTTGTCCAAATCAACTTTATGTTTTATGTACAAGAAATCTAAGAGGGATGCTGTCAGATACATAAATTTGTATGTACATATATGCATGCATGTATCCGCTGCCATATACATCAGAGATGTGGTATCGTGGTTGGAGGGGGTGGGGTGGGGGGCTCCTCCCCTCCCCCAATTAATCTTTTACTATTAAAATTGTTCAGGAAAGGCTGGTTGGATTAGGCTGTGAAAAAAGTTTGAACCTAGAAACACCTTTCTCCCATTTCCAGCCCTACCTACCCCTTGTATAATAGGAAATTAGAGTTAGTATTTCAGGTAAATTATCAAATATTTAATTTATCTCCGCAAGAACGATACCACCAGCCTAATATTAAGTATATATTTATGAATAAGCACAGATTACAATTATTTTGTTCAAGTAATCAATTGTTACGAACCAGTAAGTTGTAAGAACTTGTTTCTGATCCATTTGCTTATGTCAATAAAATATGTTCAAAACAAACAAACGATCTGTTGAAACCACGCTGTTGGTAAACTACAATTCGAATTTCCTCCATGCTAATAAGTATACGCAAGTCTTTATCAATGAATAAATACCAGACGTTAACCGCAAGATATTGGGTGCATAATATATAGTCAATGTATCATGAATAAGTATTTTTAAAAAATCATAATTTGTTATTACTTACCAAAATTTTGTCTGACTCCTATTTCTCCGAAGGTCGTAAAGGATACCGAGGATTTCCGAAAATTTTCGGAAGGCATTGCGCACGAAAACCTTGAAGTTGATGAACACGAAACTCTAAAGCTCATTTTCTCGTAAAAAGTTTTATTCTATTTAGCAAATTGTACATACCCAAAATTAGTGGGAGAACAATATCTAAAACTAAATACTAGGAGAAATAAGACATATATAGCAGATCTTACTTAATTTTGCAAGTTTTAGCTGGTCTACATAATGACGATATATAATAATACCAATATATACGTTGCTTGAAATTTAAATTAAAAAATTTCTATAATCATAAATTTTTGGCATATTTTTTGTATTTAAGGGACAAAAATATACTAAACTAAATTTAACTATTGTCAATTTAATTTTAAAAAGTCATTAATTTTCTGTTCAGAGAGGGTCAAAATGTTAAGGCGACCGGTTTTGGTCTACTTATTCTACGAGGCTACTTAATGCCAATATATAAATATGAGCGGTCTCCTAAATGGCACAACCATATATATATATATATATATATATATATATATATATATATATATATAAATATATATATATATATATATATATATTCCTAGTGACAAGGCCTTCCTTTGGATACCAACAATTTTGGCATTGACTTTGATCTTGGAGTTTGACCTACTTTTAAAAAATTTTAACCTTAGTCATAACATTTGAACGTTTGGTTCTAGGGCTTTCACATTTCACGATCATGTGTAACACTAGTGACAAGACCTTCCCTTGGGCACCATTTGACCTTGACCTTGTCGTTTTACTTCCTTTAAAAAACTTTAACCTTTGCCATAACTTTTCAACGGTTGGTGCTGGGGCTTTCATATTTCACAGGTGTATTCTTCGGGACAAGACCTTTCTTTGGGTACAAACATTTTTTATCTCTTGACCTAGAGTTTGACTTGCATTTGAGAAACTTTAACCTTTGCCATAAGCTGCCATACGGGGGCATCAGTGTTTCACAAACACATCTTTTTTATCACTAAAGCTGAGTAAACTTATGTGATAAAGGTGAGAACGAAGGGGGAGACAGGTGATTACCAGCAGCAGACTGGTATACTTTTGAGAGGATTTGCATAAAAATTAAAGATTCATTAGTTGAAAAAGAAATGTGCATAAAACACCACCTTAATTTTTCGTATATCAGGAACAATATGAATATGTTAAGTAATAAAGAAAAGATCGAACTATGACAATGTTAATGTGAATAGTAGAAGAATAGGAATCGGGATCGAAATTCCTTTGAGTTACACGGGGTACCTCACAGGGTTTTATTAAGAAAATGGCGGACAGGCGACGGCGAAGGATTTCAGAAGCCGAGAGCGAAGAGGATACGAGACATGATCGAATACATGATGTAAGATACACTTTTTTTTACTTTTGAATCGTGGTCTGTATCTCATGTGAAGGAAGGGATCACATGTCATGACTGAATGTATGGATGATGTCCCGAATTGCCTCAGTTTTCTCATTAGAGCAATTCAGTCTTTTTCTTCCCGTTCTTTGCCGTTTAGAAGTGTAGTATGCTTAACATAAAAATGAGTAAGCGATATTGATAATTTAACAAAACTCATTTCTTATGTATTCATATATTTGTATGTTTTTCTTTAACTTTCGTTTCATTCATTCACAATGTGGAATTTTCATCAAATCTGGTATTTGATGTTTCAGGATAATGATGTTGAAGTAGCAGATGATCATTCAACACATACAGATGTAAAAGTGAAAGTTCATAAGGTACTCTTAAAGGTTCTTTTAAGCTTTCTATTTTTTGTTTTTATCATAGGGGAAGGGTTCGACACTAACTTTTTTCCCTTGGTGGACCGCGGGTCCACTTGTCAAAAATAATTGGTGGACCTTCTCACATTCTGGTGGACCTTCATAAATGTTTGAATTAATGAATGAATTCATTACACAAGGCTTGAAACTAACTTATGTACCAAGTCCAGTCATACTAATAAAGTGTAAGTTTAACCAGTCAACTGAAACAAATCAATTAGTCAGGAGTGTTTCAGCAATATTCTTAAATATATTTTCAGTATTTTGAAAAAGAACACAATCTATACCTTCAAACAATTTGTTATTTTAATATCATTTATTTACAATGGTAAAAACCAGCATTTATTTTGCTTCCAACTGTAGATAAAATTTAAAATCCCTGTAAATAAGTTGTATATATAAACAAGTGAATTTTTCATGTATCTATGGCTAGAACAATTTTTACTACGATGCAAAAGGACAAAAGTATATGTTTTTATTTATTATTTTTAAATTATTATTTATTCAAATGTGATTTAATGTATAGCAGAAAAAAAAGAAACTGCATGTAACGTGTTCATAAAATGCCTATTTGAAGATATAAAAAAAATAAACAATGCATAAATGCAGCTGTCAATCAATCCTAATTATCTCCAAACCTGGCCATCAGTGTGCGTTCAGGCGTGAAGTGATTTCCTGTTACCCAGTGTAGATTTTCATACCTTTCTGTGCATTAAATAAACGAAGGACAGACTGACCAATTTGGCACGAATTTTACATGCTTCTTTTTCAAGGTCCGTGTTGAATGTTCTTGCATCTCAATGTTATTGTTATTGTAGTCATCAATATTACTTGTAAATTATACATTCATCTAAATATTTACCTAAAACAAATTTTACCATATTTATTTATTGTAAAATACAAGTATGGATGAATTAATTGTTTGATTTACGGATGTCGATTTATAGAAAAAAATGGAATATTATTGTGTATTTTTCAATAAGGTGTTTTAAGTGGACCAACGGTCCACCTAGTCCAGAACATTTGGTAGACCTTCTAATTTTTTGGTGGACTTGGGCTGCTGGTCCACCGTTAGTGTCGAACCCTGAGGGGGTAAGCCTTTCAATCTATTAATGGGAGTAATGTTGTCTGTTGGTGATAAACTCTTGAGGATTTTCTTGCCCACATAGCAAGTAAAAATTTTATTGTAACTTTTTGAGAACAGACTATGGTTTGACTCTAGTTTTGTACATGTCATTTAAACACTTTTTTTACACTGATCAGGCATGGTTCCAGAAATTGAGGTGAAGGGGGGGGGGGGGGAGGCACAAAAAGTAGGCAGGGGGTCTGGGGGCCACCTTGAGGCCCCCAGTGGGTCCTGGGGGAAGCCTTGGTGAGCCCAGCGGGCAACCCCCCTCCCCCTGGTAGCTCCTGAATTCTATAGATTTTAGTAGAGTAAAACCGAGTAGACATTTTTACATTTTCTCAATGAAACTATGATTTACGCCAACTTTTGTCAATTTTAGGGGGGTATGCCCCCTTAAATCAGCCACTGCTGATTCACTGACTGGACCGCAAAGGTTAAAGTTTTCAGAATTATGATACAAATTGATGGACATTTTTTTTACCAGCTGGGCAGAAAATCAAGGGCCTAAAATATCAATGCTGGCTATTAAAAACCTTGTAAAGTAGGGAGCCCACATGACCCTGAGGTTTTAAATGTTATTTGCAACCCTGTGTTTTGATTCTATAAAGTCAGTTTATAAATTTTTTGTATCAGTATGCTGTCCTATAAAATTAACTTTTAGTTTTTTAATTCTGCAACCATATTTCTAAAAACTGCCTACTCCCCTTTATAATCAAAATATTACTCCATGGTAGCAATTATGTATGACAAAGAAGTTTAAACTTTTAGGCTATTTATCTTTCATGAGATATCCAGAAAAGGCCATCTTAGTTGTTCTAACTTTAATGCCTATTTTGCCTACATATTTGACAAAAGAATGCAGAAGAGGATGAAGAAGAAAGTGAGGAAGAAGAAACAGATGAAGAAGAGGAAAGCGAGGAAGAAGATGATGAATCCTATGATGAAGAAGATGAGAGTGTCATCATCGAAGGTGATGATGGGCTGGATGAGGAAAGACAGAGTGGGGATGGAGAGGTAAGATCATTTACACTCTAGTAATTCTTATAAACCATAGAAAGTGTTCTTCAGAAGATTTTTCCTTTAAGACATTGAGCGACTGCAATAGCAGGTTATAAATCTTGATTCTGTTTAAATTGTAAATATATGGCATGTTTAATCCATAATTTTCATTCAGACAGAAAAAGACCAGTGGAAAGGGTAAAAAGAAAGATAGTTAAAATGTTTTGTTTTATGATGTTTAGGAGCAGCCAGAGGGAAATGAAGCTGTTGATGATGATGAAGACAAGAAGAATCCAGCATATGTCCCCAAGCAGGGGGCATTTTATGAACATGACATGAGGATATCAATGGATGAACAGGAGGAAGATGAAAAGAAGTACAATAATTGAACCGAGTTCTTCTATTGGCAAATTTTTATCATAATTTTGATATTGTCACATGTAAAGTGCCACAGTATCGTATGAATTCTTTTAGCATGTTTTTTCCCCCAATAAAAATTATCTGGAGGGGGAGTTCCACAGCATTCGTAACTACATACTATACACATATTATTATATAAATAGTTAACAAAAAATTGTCTTATCATAATGTTTCATAAAGATTACACAGGATATAAGAGCCATCAAATCAGATTATGCTCCATTCTCAATATGTACCGAAACTTAAAGGACTTATCGCATGATATTTCAAAAATTGTAATTTTATGAAAAATATTATCTATAACCTTATTTATTGAAGTACTGAATACAATAAACGTTGTTGAAAGCATATTGTAAGAGATATTGAGAGTTGAAATTCAAATACGGCAATATGCATATTTCAGTCGTTTTTCGGTGAAATACTGCTCTGACGTCATAGGCGACAATTCGGTGATTGAGAGATTAGAATATGTTAACGGAGTTATCAATGACAAATGCAGCTAAATCGCGAAAAATGCTGAAAAAATTAATTCCCTATATGCTTTTCAATTACTATAGACATATTAATTAGTTCTAAGGTATAAGGCTTTTAAGATATTTTCGTTTTTTATTCAAAACATTTAGAATCTGTAGCTCTAATTACAGCAATGTTTCGTGATCGGGAAATTATTTTTCAAGATTGCCATCCTTTGAAAAACATATGAAGACTTGCATAATATTATATACAAAACGAAGAGTAACAAAGTTATATAATGTTTAATTTGTGAATCAAATGAGTTAATACTTGTGATAAGATGACAAATCAAATTGTATTGTGATGGCAAGTTTCTTCGTCTTCACTGAGTCTCCCTCGCTATCGTCGCTGCTATTTTTACAATGTTAACAGATTTTTCAGATTTTTTCTTGCTGACATTTCTAACATATAAGGTTGAATATTCAATTTTATATTGATAAAATAAGTGATTTGGTTGTCCACAACGCAGAAAATTCAGGTTGTATTGTGTATATTTTAGTAAGATTAATGAAGAGCTGATCAGCCATTGTCACCTTTGACGTCACAGGGTCACGTGATCACTATCTAATTAACTTAGATTTTTAATTCAGGGGTTTCCATTTGAGTCAATAATTGGTTAATTACCGCAATTTATCCACAGTAAAAACACAAAATTTATAAATTGTGGACATGAGGAACGTAATACGCTTTTAATTTCAAATAATTTAGAAACATGCGATAAGCCCTTTAAGAACAGTATTTTAGTTTTAAGTTCATTAAGTACATTAAAGTACATATGTATGTATACACAAATGTACTATTGCCATTTATAGACCAAAGAAAAAGTTGTGGAAAGATGAAGGAAAATGGCAGCATGATAAATACAATGAATCCATGCAAGGACCAAAGACAAGGGCAGAATTATACAGTGTGTATGGTTATGATATCACAAGGAGTGACAAAGCCCCAGAAGCCCCTCCCAGGAGCAATCAACCCAGGTAAAAAAAAATGAATATTAATAGACATACATGTAAATGTTTTTAAGGGCCTGAGAAGTTCTAGGAATGTATCACTGAAACTGGCATTTTAGATGCTCCTCCTTTATGTAAATGGGAGGAGGTTAAACTCAATAAAAAATACATTTGATTTGCTCATTTCTTATGTAAAGAAATACCTACTTCCGATATACATGCATAATTTTTTTGTAGAGGCCCCCGATCCAAACAGAAATCACGATTCAGAGATTTTATACATGAAGGAGATTACGTACAAAATAGAAATAGTTACAACAATCTAAAATCAGGTGGGAGACAGGGGTATGATGAAAATGGACGAGGTGGGTGGGGCTTCTCCAGGAGAGGGGGAGACAACTATCGGAGAAATGACAGATACAGGAATGATAACTCTTACTACAACAACAGAAACAGAGGCTATAATAAGTCTAGTCAGGGAGACTTTAACAGTAGGGAAGATTTTCCAGAATTAGGGTACAAGGAAAAGCCCAGGCGGTCTGATGAAGGCAGAGGATTTCAGAATGATAGGCGCAGTGATCAAGAATATCATAATCGAGGGTTTCAGAGTGAAAAGAGGAATGAGCAGGAATATCACAGGAGAAGTGAACAAGAATATCACAGTCGAGGTGAACGTTCCAGTCAAGATCGAGATAATAAGGGTCCTAGGGATAACAGAAGTAGTTCAGAAAGAGAGAATCGTTCACATTACAATAGAGACAACAATGAACAAATTCATCCCGAGAAAAGTGATTATGAAAGTCGTTCAAGCAAAGATAATAGATCAAGTGTGGAAAGGACTTCATATCCTAGAGAAGAGAGGATAAGTCCCGAACAAGAGGGAAAGTCGTATAATGACAGTTATAGGCGAGGAAGGGGGTCAAGAGGAGGCAGGGGTAATAGGAGACCCGGGGGAAGAAAACCAGAACCTGAGAGGAACTTCCCAGAAAGGAATTTCCCTCCAAGGTTTCAGAGAATGAAGCAAAATATGGCAGCTGCAGAGGGTGATCCCTCACTTCAGCAAGGGACAGGGGGAGATGAAGAGGTGTATATGTCCCCACCTGAATCCCCTCCTGAGGGTAAGCAGGGTTTTCCCCCTCCCCCTCAGAGAGAAAGTCAGCCACAGGTGGCACCTGTAGCAGAATCTTTAATTGTACAGAACACTGGGGAGCGTAAATCTTACTCCAAGGAGCGACGTGTAAAATCAGGACGAGGACCAGAAGAGCCACCCCCTCCAGTGGTTCCAGAGGAGACAGCGCCAGCAGAGCCACAGGGAAAACAAGGTTTGTCAGAGGAGAAAAAATGTAAAAAGTACTTTAATTATTAATTGAAAATAATTTTAAATTACTGAAAAATGGGTAATGGGTATATGAAGTGTAAACAGAAAGAGAAGTTCTGATAAATTAAATGTAAAATTTGATCCGAGAGACTATCTTTTTTTTTGTTTTTATTTACTTTGAAAGATTATGAAATTTTTGTCTTTTTATGGTTAATTATGGTTTTGAAACTACATTTTCAGTAGAATTTATGTATAGGGTTAAGGGAATTTAATCTCTTAGAAATTCATTGTTCTGAATGAGTATTTCTGAGAGTCACCACTCACCTGCACTGATTCAGTGGTATTGGTTGTGTTCATTCTGTATAGGGGGAAATCTCAGTGAGACAAAATTTAGCAATTTATCCCAAAATAATGGTACAAATTTTTAGCGAGAAGTAATTTTAGTGATTTTATAACGTCAAGAAAGATAGCAATAACAGCTTATATGGAATAAATTGTTAGCAATATTCAAGGTCAAAGAGAATGAACTCTTGTCTTGAATCATTTTTGTTGATTTCCTTGCATGATAACCTTGGAAGGTGTGGATGGAATGTTTGCACCATCGGTTGATCTTCCATTGCTGAAAGTAGATTTTGATTTTCATGCAATAATTGAGAAGGGTTGGGTTGCAGTGTCACTTTTACATCATAGATGGTCTGATAAGGAGTTGGGATGAGATTGCTTTCAATTTGTCTTTTTGGATAATAGGATCAAGTTGTGTTCCTTCTGCTTCAAAAAAGTGAATATTTTGTTGCCAGGCATTTACAGTACTCATTACTGACTCTTAAACCTTGATAGTGAAGATGAGGTGATTTAATGTTTGGGCTTTTTCACGTATCTATTTCTTAAAAGAGATTACATATTCATGTTTGGGGTCTGTTTTATCAGAAGAAGTTATCCAGTCCCAGCAGTTTGACAACAAGGCGTACAGTAAACAGGACCAGGGAGGTAAACCGAAGCGCTACTCCTCCCAGCGACAGCGCAACATACCTGAAGTGGGGGGATTCACAGAACAGCCTATAGATAGCCAGAAATTCTATCCACCAGGTATAATTAAGAATTCTGATGCCTGGAATATATTAACACATGGTATACAGCACTCTTGGGTTAGTTGGTGTATGTATTCTTTGCATGAATTGATGTTTCCCTCTGTGTTCAGAATAACAAAATTTACTGGTTATCTTTGTTAATGTTACACATATTGATAAACCTTGCTAGTAAGAGCATTACATTTGAATTTACATCAGTAATAATAGCAGTGATATTGTAAATTGCATACCTTGAATGATATTTGCAATTCCTCATACATGTACATGTATTTAGCATGACTAGCGCAATTTGGCAAAATCATCTTTGGTGTCAAGACAAGTTAACCAATGTCAAAGCAGATGTTTATGTAAGCATGTAGCATTTTTAGGGAACATGATCAAGTTACTTGAGTATTGATTAGGTGAAAACAGTCAAACCTGCCTTAACATCACATTATTTTAAGTGACATTCTGTCATCTGTGGTTTAAATAAGTCCTCTCAGTATGACATTTTTTTCTGGATTAAAGAAACTTCTCGTGTGACAGGACCACAAACAGAGCAGTAGTTTACCTTTTTCATTGCCTGCATTTTACTACAGAGAAGGCAGAAAATTCAAGTTTTTCAATCCGTTTGCATTTATATTGAATATTACTAAGTGTACCTGTCTATATTTATAATAAATTATTGCTAGTCGTTACATTAAGATCTGCTGTTAGAAGTCTTAATTATGATAAATTTAATTACCATTTACATAATCAATACATGAGGAAGTGATCCATCAAGATACAACAGTTTTAAGATTACCTTGAAAGGTTGTTCAATGCAGGTTTGACTGTTTTTTTTTTTTCATTTTATTACACACTATTGGACACCCATATATTTAACAAACATGGCCTAAAAATATAATTTGTAGGTGGAAGAAAAAAGTTAAAGCTACATGGATTTACTGTATAATTAACTTAAAACTAAAAGAAACATTTATTTAGCAAGTATTCAGTGATTAAAAGTGAAAAAAAAAATATGCAGTTAATGAAATGTAACTATTTTTCAGAAACTGTTTTCATCAAGGGACATGAAAACCCTCTCTCAAACTTTTACCTTTGTGCAATTAAATGGGATAACAATCATTTCACTAGCGCGGAACATGCGTATCAATTCAGCAAGGCCATTTTTCATAATCAAAAAGAACTAGCCGAGGAGATGAGAAAAACTGAGGCTGCAAATAAAGTCAAAATGTTGTCAAAGAACATAAATCCCTCTGAAAAATGGATGAGTACCAGATGTAGAGTCATGAAAGATATTCTTATAGAAAAATTTAAACAAGTGGAGCCATTCCGTACTGCCCTTCTGGCAACTGGCACCAAACCACTGGCTCATGATGTGGCGAGTTTATTCTGGGGAACTGGAAAAAACTTCAATGGCCAAAACATGTTTTGCAAGCTGTTGATGGAAGTCCGAGATCAAGCAAGGGCTCAGATGTGTAAATTTAACATCTTTTTTGTTTGCACATGCACATCCTGATATTTAATGCAATGTCGTTTTGTTTTGTATAAGATCAGCCTTCATACTTGCATTGGCAAGTTATCATGCTAATCTGGAAAAAAGAGAGAGATTCAATTCCTAGGGTTTTCTCAGTTAAAAACAGAACTTATTTGAGTTTGATCTATTTAAAGGATTTTACATGTAAATGCAGTAAATTTGAATTATCTGAAAAATACTGTGGAATCATCATTGTTAGTGGAGAACATGGATTTCATTGTCACCCTAAACCCAAAATTAGCATTGCGACAAACGATAACTGTCAACATATTACTTCATTGAATCTCCTGTGTATGCGAGTTACCCTTGAAATTTTTTCCTCATGAACTAGTAAAGTTATGGTTGTGTACGAACATTGAACCCTAAAATTTAAATGATTCCACAGTATGCAAAAAAAAAAAGAAAAAAATGAAAAGAAAATGTTACTAATAAAGGAAGGAATAAAAAAAAGAGTCTTCTTAAAAATGTAGTTGAAAGATTTTAGTCATTTTACATTGCATATATGGAAACTCGTTACAAATTGTGAAATTGGATACCAGGTAATAAATAATGAATAAATATAAATGTAGATAAATAAAAAAAAAAATAAGTGACTCAGAGACTGTCTTAAGGGGAGTAAGTGCATCAAAAAAATGTTTAATTGATGTTGATTACATCTTTTTATGATTCCTTAAGAAATTCTATATGAATTTAAGGAACACTGCCAATGCCCATAATATTTAAGTAGGTTTCATGAAAGTTGATCAAACAAAACATACTAACACCTAATTGTTTCTAAATGCTGTGAACCAACTTGTCTGCAGTGACCCCCAAAAACTAAATTCTGTAAGGCCAATAATAAAAAATGATTTGTTTGTTATTTTGTAAAATTTTGATTGAGCATTGAGTGTAAATTTCATAAAATTAAGTATGCATGCATGTTTACAAGCTAGGAGCTTATTGCAAAACTTACTGAACTTTCTCACTTGACAGAAAGTTGGTTTCAGTATCAATAATGCACACATGTATTTCATATTAATGTCCATATACAGTATTAAGTTTGTGTTTAAATTAAAAGCTTCAGTTTAAGGAACTGTAATTCAATTGGTTTCTGTAATATTTGTGTTTCACTTACTTTCCACAACATGAATGTTGCTTAAAACATATAGAGTATACATTATGTATTTGGTATAAAAAAAAATGTAAATTGTACATGATTGTGTCTCTCTCCACAGCAAGCCAAGCCAACTTTCCTGCACACCCTAACCCTGCTATACTCCGCCCCCCAATAGCTACAGTGGCATTCCCCATGAATGGTAAGCAGAAAGCCACCAAAAATGCTTTCACGTCACATTGCACTGCCATAAACTCCAAAGAGATGCAAGACTTTATAGGCATTGAAAAGTGGTACATGTGTATCAAGAGTTTTCTTCAGATTGATTTTATCTGTGCATTTCTTTATTGTTGGCAATGCTTACCAATTACAAGGAAAAAAAAAAGCAAAATGGTAAATTTCCAAATTTTCATGGATAGGCTAGTTTGCACTCTTATGTTTTCTGAAGCAAGATTTACATCAAATTGGATAAAAAGTAAAATGTAACGGGGGCTTTGTGACCTAATGAGTATAATCACAAGTATAAATTGCATTTATTTAAGAGATTATAAGAAACTGTCCTTTAGCCTACGTGTTCTGGACATAGTCTTACCTGATACTTTTTGTGTTTTTAGCTGTACCAAGTGCTGCAATGTCCACTCCTCAACACATCTTCCCTGGGAACCAGCCAGCTGCCATGACAACACAAGTTCAAATGATCCCCCCTCAGTACACCAATACAGGGGTACTGTATCCAGCAGCCCCCAATTTCCCGGTGCCCCCTGTTCCATTAGCTGGATTTGCTCCCATGGGAAATCACCCACCAGCATTAGCTACCCATCAACAAGGCTACCCCTCACCCCCAGGAACACAGCCAACATCAGTGGGGGCCCAACAAAGTCCAACACAGGCTGGACCACAGGTAAGACTCAAGAGGTAGATTTATACCTGTTTATATTCAGAGAGTAGTAAATGTAATTAGGATATAGAATAAATAGTTTTTTCTTCACTGTTTCAGGAGATGTTCCGAAACCAGACGGTCTATTATCCTCCCGAGTTACAAATGAGAGGTTCAAGAGCAACACCAAAGAGAGCAAAGGCTGCCATCCCCATTGTCAATCCTAAGGTATTCAAATCTGTTTTTTCATTGTGAAATCTTAGAATTTTCAGCTGCTCAATGCTTGCCGAAAAATTGAATCAACACATGGTTGGGCAAATTCTAGCAAATTTATATCCTAGTGAAAATACAACTGATTATAGTTGACTAATTCTAATACCAGGTAGTCCAGTTTATTTAATTATATATACATTTTTTCTGATTTTTTTTAATTGTAGGAAGTGAAAAGAGAATTTCACAGAGAAGGCTATCTAGAGGAGGAAAATGTATCACAAGAAGATCATGTAGAACAGGTGCCTCATATGGGGCTTGTGTCCTCTGAGGAGCAGGTGCCCTTTGAGGACCCCACAAATTCCAGAGACAGTAAGGAATTTGATGGTCTTGAGGACTTACAAGGTCACAATGAAGCACCATCAGGGGATACAGATATTGTAAAAACAGAAGAAAATTTGATAGATAATAATATTAATAATTCAAACAATACAGTGTTGTCAGAAGTTTCAGAATCTGTTTTAAATACAGACAGAGAAATTGATGACAGCGAGAGCTCAGTAGTGGTCAAATCAGAGCCCGAGTGTAGTGTAGATCAAGACAGTGTGGAACATGCTGGTGAAATTCGACCAGAAGCAAGTGTAAAAACTGAAGACATTGGAGATACTGTAAGGAAAGAAGAAAGTGAGGATTCACAAACTTTGCAGATCAAAACGGAGCCAGTTGATGAGGAGTATGAGACGAAGAAAGATTTCGTGGAATCGAGTGCAGAAATGGTTCATGTGAAAGAAGAAGAGGAAAATGTTAGTGATAATGAGAGCTTTGCTGATGCCAAAGATGAGTTGGAGAATGAAACTGATAAACAAGAGGATGGAGACCCTGTAACATGAAATTTGTATTAATATTGTACTGTAGTTTGACTCTTACCTATGAGTGGGACTTTCTCAAGCTTGATGTTCCGAAGCAGGTTTTTCTTTGCTTTTTGATTTCTAACTCAAATATTTGATAAGCAATTAAAGTAAAAGATTTTGATGAAAAGAAACTCTGTTTACATACCCTATTATTACATGACACATTGTAAATATGTACACAGTAGACTGTATCTTTCAAAGATTACTGTTTACATGTTAGTGAGTATAAATATTGTAAAGGGTAAAATTATCGTGATAGATTAAAAGAACTAATTTGTTGAATCAAGTGTGCTCAATTGTTTTGTAAAAATGTTTTTGAGAAAGGAATCTAGATTTTAAAAATACATGTACATGCTTGTTGTTTTGTGAAAAAGCACAGCTATTATATGCATACATATACCCCTTGGTAATCCATATTCTGAATCTCTCACAGTAAAGATAACGTAAAAGCATTGGGGGGGGGGGGGGGGGGGGGTTAAGTTTTTCTATAAGAAAAAATATCTAATAGTGTTGGTGGTAATCTGCTGGGGGCTGACCTTTGTGCAAATATTGTGTTATATACTAATCTAGCAGAGTGTAAGCCTCAATGAAGTGGATTCATTGTACTAATCATCGGTCAGTTTATGAATTGTACATTACAGTACATTTATCATGTTTATTTCAAAGGTTAAAGTGGCTTGTTCCTATTTGTTTTACCTAATTATGAACTAATCACTAGTGCTACATTATTCGTGCACTGCTAAAAAAAAAACTTTTTTTATATAACAGTAATTGTAAAAAAAAAAAAAATGCACATATATTACCCCTACATGTTTTTTTTTTTTTTTTTTTTAAATCCTAGTTGCCATAGCAGATGCTAAATTTTCACATTGATGTTTTGAATTTTTTTGAGGTGCCACTTTTTCCCCATAGATTTAAATTTTAGATGTTGCATTTTTCCATTTCTTTGTTAATAACTCATTTTTTAAAAACATGACTATATAATTATAAGGTTTGGTTTCACTACAAAGCTAGAAGGTATGGTTTCAATGCATATTAAGCCCTTTATTTTTTCAAAACAAGAATTTGTTGTGAGAAATTAAAAATCAATTTCTGAATTGTTCAAAATCCATGCATTAAGATCTTACAAATTTTTTTTGTATATGACCTCAACTTCAGTTATGAAGTGTGCATTTCCAATTTTTTCTTAAAAAGTTGCAGAAGACATCAATTTTCAGTGGAAGTTTCTTTCAGACAATATAGACCCCATGCATCACCCGAAAAGATTTGAAGAAATGTGGTTTCTCAAACATTTTTATAAAACATAATGGAAAACAGAAGTGGGCGATGGCTGTGGACACTATTTTTTTATGAAAATCATCCCTTGACGAGTCATTTTCTATTTAAATTTTAGATATTAACAATTTATTGATGTCATATTTCTGGTTTGGTCCTCCCTTATGCCATATTCTTTCCTGATTTATCACATTTATTTCATATATTCAACTTATAATTTAACCAGTTTCAGAACTTTTTGAAAACATCAAATTTTTTGGCCATAATAGAGCCGAAACCTTACCTTCTTCATTGACTTCAAAGTTTCATTTCAAGAGGGATAAATTTGTTAGTATTTCCCTGTGTATATGATGGGTGCATAAAATGTGCAATTTATGTATATTTGTAAAATGTCACAGTTTTGATTATATGTATATTAAGATTTGATATCTTGTTTTGGATTTATATATAATAATGTGAAAATAGTATTCTGTAAAAAATAACTCTTTAATAGATTATTTTGTTAGAAATGGTGATTTAAAATTGAATTATTCAGCATGTTTAAAGCATTAAAAGATGTGAATTATTGCATCTTTTTTTTTACCTCTAGGACAAAACATTAATAATGTTGATCATATGACATTGCACTTGAACAAGAGGAAAGAGAGTGCAATACTGTTAATGACAAAAGGAATATAACACTAGAAGTCTGTGATGACACTAGCTCTACTAATCTTAACTTTTTACTGGAAAGCTGGACTTTTTATGCCCCCCTTCAAAGAAGGGAGGGCATATTGCTTTGCTGCTGTCTCTCGGTCGGTCTGTCTGTCAGTCCACCAACAGTTTCCGTTCATTATACCCCGGCTCCAAAAGAAAATGAAGGTAAAATGATGGGGTAATTAAAAATCTAATTCTGAAGAACCACTGAGCCAGACAAGATTAACTTATGTGATACTGCAGATCACTATATTTTCGTGACACCTTATTTTCGCTAGCTGTGGTTTCCTTTGTATAGTATGCTTTACAATACAAATGTACATGAGAATTAAATTTTGGCAAGCAGTAATTACACTAAAATAAAGTTATCATGAATAAAAAGTGATTTACAGTAGCTTCTTGACATAGTGTAGATTATAAATTGTTCAAATCCTAGCCCCCAGGGATAGGGTAGGGCCACAATAGGGTGGAATCATATTTTAGGATAGGGTGGGGCCATAATGGAGGATCTACTTGACTTTGAAAAACTATAAATATACGGGGGTTAATCCAAAAGTAATGTGACAACTGCTATAAAATCTGTAATAATCAAAAGTTTTCAACAAAGCTTTATATACTTATACCACTATCTTGACTTTTGCCCTAAAACTTTATTCAGATGTATGCAATACTATATAAATTATTGAAATAAACACAATGTTAGATCTCATCTATCACCGCACAACAAGAATGTACTAACGTCATTATGGCATTTGGACACTAATTTGGATTCTGATGATACATAAGATTTATGCAAAAAGGAATGAAGTTAGAAATAGCATTTGGACCAAGTTCAGATAATTTTCATACTACAACCCAAAACTAGAAGGTTTAAAGCAAAATGGCAGTTAAGATTACTGAAAAGAAGCAAATGATATGCTGATGAACTGAATATGAGTGCTGAAAAGCAACGTCATATACAACATGGGTAACCTTGTCATGCTGCTATTGACAAAAACCTTACATTGTACTGTAAAATCACATATTTTCTTGGGGTCAATCGTGGTTTGAGGAAAAAATATGGGTTCGTGGGGATTTGATTTCATGGATGAAGAGTTGTTGAGTAGTAATATATGTGAAAAATACATTTAGTGGCGGACATTAATTCATGGGTCTCTTCATTCCTCAAAAGCACTGAAAATTAAACCCCCACATAAATTAATGATTTCACTGTATTTATTTTAGTTAATATTTTAAAAAGTATTTCATATAATGAAATGAAATTTTAAGACAAGAATTAAAACAGACAGGAATATTACTATATGTCAATTTTTGCTGATAAAATTTCATTATTATAGATTTTATAGCAGTTGTATATTACATTTGGATCAGCCCTTGTATATTAAAAATTCTTGTATAATTCTTTTATTTAACTTGCATATCACTTACTTATTTATTAAGTGAATAACAAAGGGGAATAACGTCTTTTAAAGCAGAGTAAATATTTCCATACCAGAAGTCCCATCTCAGGGGTCATGAATTTCACAATTTTTGAAGAAGCACTTTTTCTCATCATAATTATGCACTTATTTTCTCGGTTAAATGCTCCAGAGCAGAGATTTTCAAAGAATAAATGCATTTTCTCTATATGATCAATAGAGTCCTACCCAACTGCAGAATCCCTGTCCCAGGGGCCATGAATTTTTCAATTTTGGAGGAGGCACCCTTGCTTATCATAACCATGCACTAAGTCTGTCTGCTAATACCCAGGAGCAGAGAAGATTTTCAAAGAACTAATATTTTTTACCATAAGATCAATACAACCATGGCCTTACTCCAGAATGGCAGACCCAGGGGCCAGGAATTTCACAGTTTTAGAAGAGGCAACCTTGTTCATCATAGCAATGTACTTAGTTTGTCTGCTTAATACCAAGGAGCAGAGAAAAAAAAATATTCAAAGAATGTATTTTCACCATAATATCAATGGAACCCTGCCCTTACTCCCTGACCCAGAGGCCATGAATTTCACAATTTCAGAAGAAATACTCTTGCTCATCATAACTATACATTTAGTTTCTCTGCAAAATATCCTAGCACAGAGATTTGCAAAGAATTAATACATTTTCACTATACTAATACCCTTAACAAAAACTCCAAGCAAGTGGCCACAAATTTAGCAATTCTGGAAAAGGCATTCTTGCTCATCATATCAATGCACTAAATTTGTCTGCTAAATGTACTGGGGGAGAGAAGAAGATTTTTGAAGAATTTATGCATTATCACTTAATGATCTATAGAGCCCCAAGCTAACACCATACCCTCTGACCCTTGAGCCATGAATTTCATAATTTTGGTAGAGGCTCAATGCTTATTACATGTACAATCAACAGAAAGACTGTTTAATAGGTCAGATTGAAGAAGGGACCATGAAATTCAAAAAAAAAATTGTTCCTCTTTGTCCATATAAGCTCTATGCCAAAATTGGTTGAAATAGGTGCAGTAGTGGCACCGAAAAAGCTGAAAATGTTCAAATGTTAACGGACAAACATATCTCACAACTACAGACAGAAACAGATAGCTATAGGTCATCTGAAGGACTCAGGTGACCTAATTATGCAAGTGTTCCCAAAGTTTGGGATATTTAGCTCACCTGAGCTGAAAGCTCAAGTTAATTGTCCAGCATCTGTCGGTCTGTCTGTAAACTTTTCACATTTTAGACTTCCTCTCAAAAACTACTGGGCCAATATTAACCAAAGTTGGCACAAAGCATCTTTGGGTGAATGAGTTTCTAAATTATTCAAATGAGGGACAAAGTCAAGGGGAGATAATCAAGAGTAGAAATAGGATGGGGTCATTTAAAAAAATCTTCTCTCAAGAACCAATCAGCCAGAAGAGATGAAACTTATGTGAAAGCTCTCAGAGGTAGTGTAGATTCTAAAATTTTCAAATCATTGCCCTAGGGGTTGGGTGGGCCACAAAAGGGAATCAAAGTTTTACATTAAAATACATAGGAAATTATTTTTAAAAATCTTCTTCTCAAGAACTACAGGTCCAAGAGAAATGAAACTTAAGTGAAAGCTTTCTGAGGTAGTGTATATTCTAAATTGTTAAAATCAAGACCCCCAGGGTGTTGGGTGGGGCCACAATAGGGGATCAAACTTGGTGAAAGCTAAGGACATTAAATCTCATTCATCTGTCAGTCTGTCATAAAAACTCTACTAAGCTTGGTCAGAACTTTTGAATGAGAAATTTTTTTTTTCAAATTTCACATGTACATGACCTGTGATGACCTTTCCAAATATATTATGACTTTTGACCCTATGACCTTGAAGTTTGATCTACTTTTCAAAAATTTTAACATTACTTTTAAGTTAATCATAACTTCTGAATGAAAAAAGAGATATTTCACATGTATATCACAGGTGACAAGACCTTTCCATACATACTATGATTTCTGACCCTGTAACCTTGATGTTTGACCTACTTTAAAAACAAAATAATATTGGTTATAACTTTTGAAGGAAAGATAAGGCATTCATATTTGACATGTGCATTCCTGTGGCAAGTGGTTTCCCAACATGCTATGATTTTTGACCTAGTGACCTTGATCTTTGACCTATTTTTCAAAAAGTTTAACATTTACAAAAACTTTCAAATGACAAAAGATGGGGTGTTGATATTTGACAAGTGCATTACCTGTAACAATAAGTTTTCAAATATGCTATAATATTAGACCAAATGACTTTTCCTTTTAGGTTGACCTAATTTTCAAAAATTCTATCATCATTGCTAACTTTTGAAGGAGAAAAGATATGACATTCATAATTGACATGTGCATTACCTGAGACAAAACGTTTCCAAATGTACTTTTGATTTTTAACCCCATGGCCTTGACTTTAGAAGGTTTACCTTATTTTTAAAAAAGTTTAACTTTGCTGATATTTTTTGAATGAGAGAAGGTAGGGCATTGTATTAGACATGTGCATTACCTGTTTCAAGACCTTTCCCAATGTACTCTGAATTTTATCATCATGACCTTGACCTTAAAGTTTAATCTACAGTCTTCTTCATTTTTTTAACATCGGTAAAAACTTTTGAACAGGAGAAGATAGGGCTTTCATTTACATGTACATTACTTATGTCAACACCTTTCAGAAAAGTATATCATTTTTGACTCACGACCTTGACCTAGAAGTTTGACCTACTTATCAAAATTTTTTAACCTTAGCCATAATTTTTGTTCCAGAAGAGATGGGGGCTTTCATTTTATTTCACACTGACAAAATGTTTGAAAATTAGGTCAAACTTGAAGGTCAAGGTCATGGGTCAAATATCATAGCACATTCATAAACATTTTAACACAGGTAATGCACTTGTCAAATATGAATGCCCTATCATATCTCATTCAAAAGTAATCAACATAAAAATGACCAAGGTCAATGACACAGGGTCAAAAATCATTGTATATTTGGAAAAGTCTTGTCTCAGGTAATGTACATGTACAGTGTTTAATATGAAAGCTCTATCTTTTCTCATTTGAAAGTTATGACCAATTTAAAGTAATATTAAAATTTTCGAAAAGTAGGCCAAACTTCAAGGTCACGGGGTCAAAAATCAAAAGTATATTTGAAAAGGTCTTGTCACAGGGAATGTACATGTGAAATATGAAAACCGTATCTCTTCTTATTCACAAGTTATAACCAAGGTTAAAGTTTTTGTGTCAGACTGATAGATAGACATCAGACTGACAAATAAGATTTAAAGTCTCCTCGCTTTTGTGAAAGTGCGGGACAACAAAGCATTAAAAGATGCATAATTATCAGATACAGCAAGAGACCAACATTTCCTAAACTGAAGGGTCAGACTGATGTTTGTACACCTCTTCCTATGTAAGTTTATGTCTCTCCTCCTTCTGATATGGATGATGTATCTTTGGATAGATTTCAGTGTTAATGATCAATTAATAATGAACTATATTTACCTTTTTATTAAGGTCTAAATCTTTCCATGATAAACTTCTATTACTTTTTGAACATTCATTTGATATAAGACATTGCTTCAGAGTTTACATTTGTTGAGGTGAGTTTTGTCATCTTTAATTACCTATTGGGTGTTTAATACCAGCAGTAAAACTATTCATCAACATTAAAATACACATTGAGAATGATGTACATGTACACTGTATCTTAATTTAGTCTACATTAGAACCACATTTTATTACTATCAGACCAAAATTGTGTTGCACTTTGAAAAATGGTTTATAGAACAAAGGGACACTTTACCCTGGTCTCCTCTAGCCTGTGTCCAAGAAATTTAAATATTGAAATCAATGGTGTGTTCACTTTATCCAATATTTGAAAATTCCTTATTGCAAGTAATTGAAAGGTTTTATAACCAATTAAAGGTAACAGTTAAGTATGGTATTTGTTCATTCTTCGGATCGAGATACATCCATATATTAATTAGCACATTTAACAGCAATAAAGGTATGCTTATAATGAAGCTTATGCAAATACATATTTCATCCATATACATAATTAAATAATAATGGCACAGATAAAATAAATCTGACATAAAAAGTAAACACTAAGTTCACTTCTCTATGGAATTAATTGTTATTAATTATCTATTAAATCATGAGGCCTAATTAGAAAAATATATATGCCACAAAAATTAAAAATGAACAACTCTGAAAACAGGTCCCTAAGCAACAAAATATTCAATAAACTTTTGCAAATAATTTACACATACAATATAATAAGACAATTAAAGGTACTGAGACATAAGTGTACTTCAGAATCTAGTAAATATCAAAATATCATATTTAAAAATCCTTGTTTTAGTACATCCTAGATTAGCTTACAAGATCACAGATTATAAAAATAAAAAATACATGTCCATGGAAATTATGCAAAAACATTTGTACACAATACTTAACAACTATTTAAGTATTAATTCTGATATACCTATACTCTACTTATAACCATAAAAATCTCTCCGTCATATTAAATATTCAGCTTATATATGTATCTGTGGATCTATATGGTATCTAACAAACCGGTAATGAGTGAGTAGGATTTCTATCAGGTGTCAACAGGTGTAAAACACAAAATTCAGTATATAAAGTAACACGTACATTGTATTCTATATAATAAAATAAGAAAACTAATCCTACACTGTATTCTACAATAAAATGAAATAAGAGAATTAATCTACAATAAAATGAAATAAGAGAATTAATCTTTTTCCTCAGGATTGACTATACCCCTCCTCCACTCCTATCTACTGGAATTTTCTCTGCTGACATTTCAGCAGCCTTAGCAAATCGTGAATTGGAAACTGCTCCACTTTTCAATGCACTCATCAGCTGAAGCAAAGAAATGAAATCCATAAACATATGTATTTCTGGATATCTATAGTCTTACCCAGAAAGTTCATAGACAAAAATATCAACATTCAACAAAATAAGCAACAAAGATATTGGAAGCAGATACAGTTCAATGTATATTCAGCTTATACATCATAGAATCAGCTACCATATATACTCGCATTTAAGTCGGTCCGCCTATAAGTCGGTTGTATTTTTTGCAGTTATTTTTGGGAGATTTTCCATTGAACCGCTTATAAGTCGGTACAACTTTTTGCCAGAATTGGTCGACAATTTCAAATCAATGCTCTCATTTTTTAACCTTGTTTCAATCAATATTTATTACAAAATGACGTCGATATCTAATTTTAAATCATTAAAAAATAAGTAACGCACACTTTAAATAGAAATAAAACTACCCATGTATTAAAATTTATAAATATTTTTACTTTATGCATAGTCTTTGAATGCATAAATGATAAATATGTAAAGACTTTGGTCAACGATAATCGACAGGATTGTTTATAAAATACTACTTTTCGTCATCAAGAAAAATACCAATCTTTCTATGACTTGCCTATAAGTCGGACACAGAGTTTTGAACCAAAATTTAACTCCCAAAAACCTGACTTACAGGCAAGTATATATAGTAATATATCATATAGTAAATACCACAACTGCACCCATAAAAGCTCACACATAATAAATTAAAAGTACAAACATCAATTTGTAAACAGGAAACACTTAAAATTTATCAGAATGAAACAAATGTAAAGGTCAGGTGCCCTAATGTGATTATACATGGCATTGTACTGGCTACTATTAGAAACCACCCCTAGTCAATCAAGGCAGGAAGATCACATGTCTTGTTATTTTTGTGGATTAGCAAATGATTAATTGCAAGATATGTACAATTAAAAAAAAATAATAAATAGCAAATGTTGTGTATTTTTTAATAATACTAAATCTAAAGGTATAACAGCAAGAGATAGACACACTTCAATCCAAGGCACACAGATATAATGTATTTTTAAGGTGCTCAGTACCCTTTGATGTTTTCTGTGGAGGTCTTGATCATATTCATCTTGACTATTTATCTCAGCTGCTATGTGAGCACAGTAAACTAACTGGAAAACAAACACCCCCAACTTTATTTAATCAAGTCCTATACATGTCTATGGGTGCTGAAGCTGGCAAACGTTCACACTGAAACTTATGCATGCATTTACATGGATGTGAGCCGTGAGTCACATAGAGGCAGATATGGATTTTATAGATAGAATATTAAATCAGAAGAGTAGTAGAAAAATCAACTCAACCAAACAATGAATACAGGTTTACAGGTGAATGCTCTTAAATACATGACAATGACAAACTATTCATGTAGATGCTAGTCTTTTTACAACAAGTATATACATGCAGAAGATGAATAGCTTTGAAACACAGTTTTACAATGAATACCTGAACATGTGACATTGCTGTACATTCTTGTACTAATGCTTCTTACCTGTAAAAACTCTCCAATGTCTACCTGGGCATTGCGATTGAGATCAACTTCACTCAGAATATCATGTAACTGATCCTCTGTGACTCTCTCTCCAGTTTGCTAAAATTAAAATCAATCAGAATAACCAAAAACCACACTTAAAATTTGTCAACTAACAAAAATACATTTCTTACACAATTCACACACTGTAAATTGTAAACATATAAACAAAGCTTGCTTATAATCTATAGGATTGTAAGATTACCAATATTTACTATGTAATTGGCAATTTTATTTTATTTATCTACTTTTTTTTTTTTTGGTATATGAAGCCATGGTAAACAAATTTTTAAACTGTGTACAATACAAATAATATCATATTTTTCCCTGGTAAATCAACCCAATGAATATGATTTTTATTAAGCCAAGAAAATTACAAATTATAAAAGACAAAATGCATATTATATAAAAACAAGAAAATGCAATACAAGGAATTTACCCCTTTGCTATTGTATATAATTATGTACAGTGTATTTTGTGTGTGTATATGAAATATAGTAAATGTATGGACCCTCTATATATATATTAAATAAATGATTTAAATATCATAGGTAAATTCAGAAAGGTTAATAAATATAAAAGGAAAGTCATCTAACAAATGGTTTAAGTGAATAGCACCATCTGTGTTTGCTTTTAGTTCACACTGACCTTTCCTGGCACTGAGTTTTGTTTTTGTTTTTTTTTTTCTCATCACTTAATACATGCATTTATGTCTGCACATTTCCATACTGTACAAATTTTCTTCTCAATAATACTAAGGAGACATCCTTCAATTTGATATTTCTTCTGGACAGTAAAGACAAAATTGAAACAAATTGTTTAAATCTTAAAGAATTTCATTTGATTTTCTTTTTGCTGTTGTTTTTTGTTTTGGCAAAAAGTACAAAAGATAAATGTATCAAAAAGTGTTAAGTCAAAAGCAACTCAGTAAAAATGGAAAATTTAAAGCTTTCAAGCAATAAACTATTGGTTACTAAAGCCCTTTGAACACTGATTTTTCTATGTTCAATTTCTATGCAGCCATTGACTACATTCATGAAACTTTACAATTACTGTAAAGAAAGTTTCAATTTCAAACAAAATACATGTAAATGATTGAATAGGGCTCGACATGCCATTTTATAAAGTTTCCACTTGTTACATTTTCAGTTAAAAACTGATTTTTTTTAGAGAGAAATAAATTGGTACTTGTAAAGTGTAAATCATCCTACAATGTCAATAATGATTCTGCTGTAATAATGATTATGGTAATTACATGTATATATTTTACCAGATTCAAAAATAACCGTAATTTTTGATCATGTGATAGTTTATGATTTGCTAGGACTATTTTATATAGAGGGAGTATTACTATAGAATGTTTACAATGCAAATGCTGTAGGCTAATTTGACTAGGATTCCTACACAATGAATATTTTAAAAAATTAAAGTTTTATTGCATAATCACTCACCGATGCCTAAAGTAAACACATGTAAATGAAACATATCAGAGAGGAAATTTAATATTGGAGTAATTACTCAGGCTTAATTTTTTTTTTTTAAATAAAATTCTTAGAAGTAAAACAAGCACAAGAAAAAAATATAAAAAAAGCAAAAATAAAATTTTTTCTCAAAAAGAACATTAAAAATGAGCTTGTTGTCTCCTACATCACACTAACCTTGAAATAACGTCGCAAATCGTTCACAGTTATATATCCTTTATTGTCTCTGTCCAGACTCTTGAATCGCTTGACATACATGTTGATCTCATCCTTATTGAAGTTGATAGGAACATTATAAGTTCCACTACCAAGATCTAGTCCCATCTCCCTCCTAAGGAAAGTCTTCGCTCTGGTCAACTCATCCTGCATTTAAAGATAAAGGTGAAGCTTCAAAAAACAAATCAACAAATTACACGTATATACATGCATATGTATGAAGTGAATTCTTCATGTACAATGCAGTTGTATTCCTTAGCATTGTTTTCCATTTTATAGTATCAATCTCTTTGATTCTTCTCACTAGACCTCATTGGTTGGTTTCATCATTTTTTGCTGAACAGCAAATTTTGTGGTTGAGCCAGACCATGAAAATGGGTGTCAGATCAACTAGCCTCAAATTCTACTGATGATAAAATAGTTTGGGGTGGATGTCCATGAATTTAAATATAAACAAAATTGAATATTTTTCCCAAAACCACAAAATTTGAATCCCACAAAAATTAATGAAACCTCTGTACTTTGCTAAGGAATCTATCTAATTTCTATGACTTTCGTTTAACCTGTTGTCTTGATTTACTCCATTTCAGTTCCTCGGCCATGATCTCCACTATCTTGGGCAAGGCTTCTTCTGCGGCATTTGCATTACAGAAGGCAAGCCGGGTCCTGCGGGCGATGATATCTATTGCAGTGCAGGCATACTCCCTAACAGCATATCTCACCTACAAAAATTTATAAAGAAAGACTTTAATTAAAAACATTATTCCTTTCAATAATTTTCCAGCAAGATAAGTCAGTGTATTTTGAGGACCTTTCCCCACAACTCTTTACCTCTGCCTCTAAATAAGGGAACTCTTCATGAAGTCTCTTCCCAACCACTGGCCATCTCTTCCCAGTTAATGATGACATTTTTGCAATCTTAAAGGCCTTATCTCCATACGTATTGGCCAAATGTTGAGCAACCTGTAAGAAATTTACAACAAATTCTTTTTTAATCAATCAATGAACAAAAATTGCAACACTTTTCCAAATATTTTGATTTAGAAAATGTCTCCAAATAATCATAGTTATTTCTAACACTAAGCGATAATACAAGTATTTTAATATCACATGATTAAAAAACACATGTATCTGTAATCTTGTCTGCTTCTATCAATATATAAAACTAATGTTGATTGACTCTAGATAAATGTACTGAAAAAAAAACTTTTTTGTTTGCAAGAAATTATTTCTCCATGAACTTACGCTGTCACTTACTTTTATAAAAGTTGCTAACTGATTTTAGTCATATTACAGTGTATTTGCAAATACATGTAATAACATGAGCAGTCATGACAGAAAGTTCATAAAAAATTTGCAATACAAAGAAGAGTCTTGTTATTATTGAGAGAGTTAACCTCATTTTCCAGGCCAAAGTCCTGTACAAGTCTGATAAATAGTGTTGGTGTCCAGCCATGTGCACCGTCCAGTAATAACCCTTTGGTCTGGCAGGGCTTGGCATGCTTCAATGAGCAGACCTCCACAGCTTTGTCTAATGTTTCCTCTGCCATGTGTCGATAGGTTGTCCATTTTCCTCCTATCATATAGAGGAACAGTGTGTTTATAGAATACTACTCATATGATCAGTAGAAACATTTTTACTACAGATAGTGAAAAAGATCATTAATTTCTTAACATGATACATCAAACTTCATTCTTCTGAATGCCAAAAAGAGCAAAATATCAAAAAAAAAATTTACTATCTGAACATCTCTTTTTCTCTGTTGACACAGGTTGTAATAAGTTCCTTCCAATGTTTTTTTTTTCAATTTTTACCTGCTAGTCTGACAAGGTGTTGTTAATCATGGTTAAATTATTTATTTACTTAAGCCTGCTTTCATATTAAGTCTCCCCCTTCCACAGGTCAATTGCTGTAAAACTGGTTATACTTTGAAAATATGAAAATTTCAGAATTTAAAAAAAAATGGCAAGTTGAAACAAGTACACTGTATTTCATCTTCACTATAGCCAAGAGTTTTCAATCCACTTTGCTCCCTATGGAGAGCAAAGATGATTGTACTTAAGAATGCTCTTTAAAAACCATGAGAAAATTACTAGTAGAAACTATAATGATAATAAATCATTCATCAAATCTGTCAACCTTTTACTGAAGTTTCTACGTTTACAATTATTGTTGCCGTTTTCTAACAAATTACCTCTATAATAATGATTTTGTCACTGTTCTATTGCTTTTTCATATAATTGAGGTGGAGTGTCCAATGATACACTAACCCTTGTTCAAACACCTATCATTTATTCCTGCTAAATTGATGATTTTGTACTTGTTCAAATCCCTGAAATTCATACCTGCTAGAGTCATAATTTAGTCCTTATTACTGTTGAAAAACTTCAAATTCATACCTTTATAGAGTTAATTAAGTTTTTGTCACAGTTCAAATGCTTTAAATTTTCCCCTCTTATAATAATTTTGAAACGATTCAAATTCTAATGAGATTCTAATTCAGAGGCTCATGATTTACTTCTTGTCACTGTTGTCATTGTTCATGGCACCTCTGATTTATACCTGCTATAGTGATGAGATGGTCCTCTGCCACTTCAATAATGTGGTTTCTGGCTACAGATTGAGTGTCTTTCTTGTTTGGATCTGACACCAAGGGACGGATACCACACCAGGCTGACAACACATCGCCACGACGAACTGTAAACAGGAAGACAACATTATTTAACATCCAAATGAATTTGTTTTCACATAACTTTATTTATCACTTTTGATATCTGAGGGTAGCATAGGCTTTTACTACTTTTTCATTCTATTTTTAAAGTTAATTTTGCATAACAACCTTTTTCAAGGTTATACAAAAGGTTTTATGAAAAGAACTAAAAGCTGCTGATTCTGGGTCAAAATTCTAAAAAAAAGAAAACACAAAAAAAACAAGAGGCCCATGGGACACATTGCTCACCTGAGCACAATGGCTAGGAAAAAGCACAAATCAATTTAGTATTGAAAAGTTTATGGGGGGGGGGGGGGGGGGGGGCTTGAATTTTAAACTACCTGAGGATGCTTCCATATCAATATAACGAATGGCTTTGCTATTCTTGAGTAGAAGATTTTTTCCTATATTTATATATTTATATTCCTTTGTAAAAATTTCATACCCCATTGTGGCCCCTCCCTTCCCCCAGGGGTAATCATTTGAACAAACTTTAATCTACACTACCCTAGGATGCTTCCATATCAATATGATGAACATGGCTTTGCTGTTCTTGAGAGAAAGATTTTTATGCACCCGGATCGATAGATCGGGGGGCGCATATTGTTTTTGTCCTGTCTGTCTGTTGTCAACTTTAACCTTCGCCATAACTTTTGAACCATGAGAGATAGAGACTTCATATTTGGAATGCTTACTCCACTAATTGAGCTCTTTCAAATGACACCAAGGTCAATGACCTTGTGACCTTGACTGTGACCTATATGCTAAAAATAGCTTTTTCAAACCTCGCCATAACTTTTGAACCATAGGAGATAGAGACTTCATATTTGGTATGCATACTCCACTAATTTTAAAAGTTCTTTCAAATGACACCAAGGTCAATGAGCTTGTGACCTTGACTGTGACCTATACGCTAAAAATAGCTTTTTTGAACTTTGTTGCCGCCGGGTGCATAGTGTTTCACAAACACATCTTGTTTCCTATATTTCTATGTAAAACTTTGATCCCCCCTTGTGGCCCCACCCTACCCCCAGGGGTCATGGTTTGAACAACTTGAATCTACACTACCTGAGGATGCTTCCATATTAATATGACAAATCATGGCTTTGCTGTTCTTGAGAAGCAGATTTTTAAAGATATTTTCTTATATATTTCTATGTAAAACTTTGATCCCCCATTGTGACCCCATCCTACCCCCAGGGGTCATGATTTGAACAAACTTGAATGTACACTATATAACAAAGGTTTCCTATACATTTCAACTTTTTCTCTCCAGATTTTTAAAATATGCCACCAAATTTTCACTATTTCTGAGTTATCTCCCCTTGAATGAGGGTGTGGCCCTTCATTTGAACAAACTTGAATCCCCTTCACCCAAGGATGCTTTGTGGCAAGTTTGGTTGAAATTGGCCCAGTAGTTCTGGAGAAGTCGAAAATGTGAAAAGTTTACAGATGGACGGACAGACAGACGGACTACAGACAAAATGTCACCAGAAAAGCTCACTTGAGCTTTCAGCTCAGGTGAGCTAAAAATACTTCAGCTTCCTACATAAATGATATTTTCAATAGAGATTTTAGAAGTTTTGATTGCTATTGTTGGAATAAACAAGAGAGTATGAGAAGACTGGAATACATGTTAAATAGCTTACCCTCCACATCAGGGTGAAGATAATTCTTGACCTCGTTCAGGATGAACTGAATTTCTTTCTCTGTTGGAGCTGGGTAATCTGTGAGCTCACAGGAGGAATCAGTAGTTCCTAAATTATGAACATCAAAATATTTAATGTTAAATACATGGATTGCAATGACTGCCAAATTAAAAAAAAACTTCTAGTTATCCTTGTTAAAATAATTTGATATTCCATGATTTCTCAGAAGTCTGGTACATTACTTACTTACCTGCTAAAGTGTGATTCTGCCATGGCAAGAAGAAAATCACTCTACCATCACTAGTGGAAGGGTCTAATAGTCCCATCTTGTCTGGACTGCAACATTTTTGTGCATTACGTACATGCATTCACAGTAATAGAAGGTATTGCTTGCATTGTGTAAATGTATTTTATTTGCCATTCAGGTGCCATTCATGGGTTTTGACTATGCTTATACACCCATGTCAGGCCATGTGTAAATATGAATACAATTTATGATATTTACATGTATCTGAATTATCTCAAAAGTTTTTTTTGTCTTGATATTTTCAATTGTAATTTAAACATTTACAACAAAACAGTGAATAAGCGTGCAGCCTTATAACAAATGTTTACTAATTACACCTAAAATATTGTCAAATTAGCATAAAAAACCAAGAAAATCAGTCAATACCTGTAGTAGTCAGGTAGCACTATGTGTACACCCTGACTCGGCTGGCAGATCTTCCTCTGACTGCTGTCATCCATTAGTCTAATTCTGTCAGTGTATGGACCAGCAGCATTGATTATGCATTTTGCCTTTACATCAAATTCTTGATCTGAAAAATTAAAACATTTCTGTAATGATATCGTTCATGATCACATCATCACTTGAACAAGCTTAAGATGAACACAGGGAATTTACTACTGTCGGTTTACATATATGTGTTGTATCACCACACTACACACAGTATAGCCTTTGTTAGATCTCTTCATTCTAGTCAGCTCTATATGTATTTACCGGTTTGTCTGTCCTTGATTCTGGCTCCACAGATGACTTCTTTCCCATTCTCATCAGTCTTTTTATAAAGTTTTAAGATCTCTGTGTAATTTGTTATGGTACCTCCCATACGTGCAGCACTAATAGCAATGGAAATGTTCATCCTGGCATCATCATGTTGTCCTGTAATGTAATCAAACATAACTGTACCATGAACATGGTCATCTTTCTAAACATTTGTCTTTAAATTAAGTTACAACAAAACATTTCACAGCTTATTCAGTTATTCTGCATCTTCCTACATGTACATGTATATCTTTATTAGTGGCCTACCCATGAAACTGGAGGGGACTATAGCTGTCTGTCTGTCAGTTTGTCCCACTTAGTTTTCTGCATTTTCCCCCAAACACTTGCAGATATTGAGTTGATTTTTGGCATGTGAGTGTATCTTGATAAGTTACAGATCAAGTTTGCATTTTGTTCAGCTTCAATTATTTTTGACAGAGTAACAGTCTTTAAATTTTCAATGGGAACCAGATTTTCCACTTGCTTTTCTGCACTTTTTTCCTAAACGCTTGCAGATACTGAGCTGATTTTTGGTACGTGAGTCTATCTTAATGAGATATAGATCAAGTTTGCACTTTGTTCTGCTTCTATGGTTTTTGATGGAATTATGACCTTTTTAATTTTTAAGGGGAACCAGAATAAACTTGCCAGTAGGGGACTACAGTAAAAATAGAAATTTTAGCAAGGATTAAAATTTTGGCATTTTTACGAGGTATTGAGATAGCTAAAATCCATACTGCATTGGAGGTAACCATACTCTTTCTAGGTGTCATTGAATCACTAAAATTTCTTCTTGATAAAATAAAATACTTATTTTTACGGACAAATTGCTAAATTTGGGTATTGCTAAAAATTCCACTTATACGGTAGCATTGCTTACGCAATACTCTCAGAGTGCTTGTTACATTTTGAAAGACATACTTGAATTCAAATATTTCATGGTAAATACAGAAAAAATTAATACAAAACACACACAGCTGTCATGTGGATGAACGTCTTACCATCATAGTAAACCAATGCCCCCACCAGCTTTTCCTGCTTCAGCATGGGAAATATTTCCAGTGTTTTACGTTTAGATAAATAATAACTTGGTTTGAGGAGTTGCTTTCCAGCTATCACATCATACATCTTAATTCCTGCCCAGAAGTAGGGGACCTGCCAGTATCTGATTAAAAGATTAACTTGTTTTATTTTTTTAAAAATGTTGTTTTAAAGGTGTATATTCATAATCTTTAAATTTCATTACTTATACATGCAACATTTTTAGTGTATCTAACATCTAAAAAACAGCTGAAAATGGTAATATTATACCTTAAATTAACAAATGTTTACTGGTCTCTTGACTCTTGTACTGAGCAATTTGTTTATCAATAATTAAACTAACTTGTAAATGGGTAGCATAATAGGAAACGGATATGCTAGATGAGGGGCAATCTGGATCAAATTTGCTCTTTCTGAAAGTGCCTCTTTGACCATTCGATACTATAAGAAACAAAGCACATGTTAATAATGCAATTAATCAGGGTTTGTTTTCACAGATCAAAATTATGTACAGTATTAACTAATATGAATAAAAAAGAAACTTTTTCAGTTTAAATTCTGCCAAAACAATCACTGAAGATGTGCTACCTGTTCTATATCCAATCCAAAAACAGCCTTTTGTAGATAACGGACCCCTCCATGTATCAACTTGGTGCTTCGGCTGCTGGTTCCAGAGGAAAAGTCAAACTTTTCTACTAAAGCTGTCTTCAGACCTAAAAAATAACAGCTAAAATTTATCAATTATATCTTTATACATGTACATTGTAAATCAATTCACAATATGAGTGAGACATGTTAACCAAATTTAATAAACTGTATTTCAGAAAAAGTTATTTATAGAGAGTTGTTTTGTTTGATACTAAACAAAAAACACTACCTCTGCTGACAGCATCTAAGGCCACTCCACACCCTGTTGCTCCCCCTCCAATAACTAAAACATCAAACTCCTCCGTTTTCAACGAGTCAATCATGTTCTGGCGAGTAGGGAGAGGGGACCACGCATACTTCATCTGATCCTCTGCAGCTAGTACATTTGGCACCTGTAAACATAAATATAAATGGAAATAATTTCAAATGTCAAAATGTCTTCATTGCAGTTCCATCTATTTCTTGAGCCTTTTATCAACAAAGCAGATTCAATAAATTATTATACACAAAAAAGTTATAATTCTGCTCATCAGGAGAAGGGGGATGGTCATAATCACACTGATGATAATGATGATGACAGTAAGTAAGCCATCAAAAGGGGCTGACAAATAGATTTTTTAGGCACTTGTCCAAGTGAAATCTCACTTGCCCTACCTGAATTTTGGCTTGCCAAACCATAAACTAATACTGTATTTATATATACATGCATTTCAAAAAATAGGAAGAAAAACACTGAGTTGAACATGCAATCCCCTATGCCCAAAATTAAATCTATGACTTAAATATTCATTTTTATTTTTTTTTAAAGTCATTTGTCCACGGGCAAGTGGTTGATAAAATTTCACTTGCCCTCTCCTAAAATTCACTAGGGATTTGTCAGCCCCTGCCATCAACAATACTTATTAGGGCTTGGACGATATATCGAGATATCGATAATATCGATTCATTGTGAGGATGATACCCATATCGATACATATGAAGAAATATCGAAATATCGCAAAAAAAATTCTGGCTAATGTTTTTCTTTGTCTACTTATCATTTTGGGATAAATAATTATATAAAATAAATATACTAAATATGAATATAATTATGAAATACATGATAATTAACACTACTTTGTAAAATTATTTTGTTTTATAACAGATATACATGTACAACTTTGAATAAATTATTCTTATTTGCGAAGAAATTATTCATTTATTCATTCCAATATAAACAAACATTTTATAACCAATTCAACATATCGTGATACATATCGTATCGTGGCTCAAATATGGTGATACGTATCGATATAGAAAAAGTTGTATCGTCCCAGCACTTACACTTATGCATATTTTTTACTATAATTTGGTAACATTTTTTATATATCTTACACTTATGCATATTTTTTACTATAATTTGGTAACATTTTTTATATATATATATATAATTAAATAAATTACAGGTTACAGATTTGAATACATGATATACAATGATAAGGTAAGAATTACAAATTAATAGTTTTATGTCTGAAGTATTACAAACCTGAGGACTTGACATTGAAGCCCAAGCCAGGATACATGTTCCACCTCCTATGACAATGCCATACTTTGCCAACCTGCGCAATGTCTTACTAAAACGGTGCATTTCTTTTTGTCAACGCTGAAAAATAAGTCAAGCAGAAAGGGTACTTCATGAAATGAAAATTTATTATAATCTGTTTTTATTTATCCCTTGAGCATTTGACAGATTTGTAATACAAACTGAGAAAAATATCTGTAAATTATAACTATATATATATATAAATGATGTAAATTTCCAATAATCTTTTATACCTAAACCACCTCTTAATTCCAAATACATGTACTGACTTCCATAGGCATTAAAAGCTTGCAGACATAATATATACCTGTCCAGCACATGTCAACATTTTTAATATTAGGCCATTTCAAGTTTTTTCTCTGTTTAGCGTCCACCCATCTTTCAAAAACCTACCTACCTATTCGCAAAAAACACACAAACCAAAAAATAAATCACAGACTTAATAGTCATAAAAATGACGTAACTCAAATGATTTGATTTCATTAATCTATTTTTCTCGTAGAAAAAACCTATTCTTCAGCAGAATTAAGGTATTCAGTGCTTACAATATTCCTAATATGTCATACTGTAGACAAATATTTTAAGAAATTGACAGAATTCGGTGATTTTGACCAGAATATTCAATTTGAGGACTCATGACTTTGTTTTTTTGTGATATGGGGTGTCAAAAACCAAGGCGCACGTGGACGCTAAACATAGAAAAAACTTGGAATGGCCTTATTTGAATTAAGCAATTCCACCTCAAATCCCCTTTGAGCCACATTGTTCATTGCTGAAAACCCATCTCCCGATACTGTTTCTGAAGTTTGAATTATCTTCATAGCTTTTTTTTTAATTAGAAGACAAACAGAAAATTAGGAGGAAAGTGTATTGATTAGTAAACAACGACAAATTACCAAAGCATGAAATCAAAAGTGAACTCTGCTTCCAATTGAGTTTGTACTTATAAGCCTGGTTTTGATGACCCTACAGTAGGGCCGCCCTCTGAAGCAATGTCATTTTGACATGAAGCAATCAAGTGTCAATTGTCAAAAATGTTCAGGTTTTAATAATGAGGATGTTCTCAAAACAAGAATCCCATGGGCCTTGATGGTCATCTGAGCTCAAGAGTATCATGAGCTTCTCTTGCTATAGTCAACTCAGTTCCACCAGTAACTCTATTCTCTTTAGAGAAGTGGACAGGCTTTTGCCTACATCAAAGAATGCTCAGTTTCACCAGCTTCAATGTTTATATTTAAATATAAATGAATTTCAGTATCTGATGAGCTTAGCCCCACCCCAAGTGTTGGACCTAGAGGACATGGATTACTCAACGTTTACAACACTGTTAACAGGTTAAGTTACAAATTCCGGTTTTCACAGTGCTAAATAAACAGGATATTTTTCAACTGATGTTATATTAATATTATGTAATTTGACAGCAAGGAAAACAATTGAGACGAAGCTTTATAGAAAAATACAATCAAAAGAAAGTTTCCTAAAATAAGATTAATTCTTAATCCAAGTAGACAAGAAGCAGACAAACAGTGTGTCGACGAAGGTAATTATTCCAGTTAGAATTATCTCTACATTCTCGTTATTACATCTATCCGGGGACAGAGGCAAAAAGGAAAGAAAACTTTCTGTACAAGAAATAAACATAAAATATTTAGAATTATGATTAAATAATTACTTACTTGAAAAGAAGGATATCCAACTGTCTTCTTTTCGTGTCAAACTCAAACTTCAAAGCGACAAAATCACTTCTGCTAAGTCTTTGACCATGACCTCACGTTTTTGAATATCGATCCCGATGAAATTTATTTTTTTCACAATCCATCCCCGCTATCATTGAACATGGAAATTGTGTATTAATAATGCAAGTGCCAGTTTTTCTTTAATTCTAAATTAACATATTTCAGATAGGTTACCTGATTACTAGTTTTCTGTAATTTGCTCAGTAAAACATCATTTGGTAGTATTCTCTTTAGAGAAGTGGACAGGCTTTCGCCTTCTCTAAAGAGAATAAATTCAGTAGTAATTGGAGGGACACTTTTGTGTGTACTTTAGTGATGTGTACAGGACATCGATCATCGATTGCATGAACATTTCAAGGGATTAATATGTATTGTTGGCTGTGTGGGATCATCAAGATTGTTTTGAACATATTTTATTTAATTTTAATGAAAATTCTAATAAAAGTAAAAAAAAAAAGGATAAACATTAACGTTTATTTCTCGGAGTCAGAGCTAAACATAATTTAATTAGTTCTGTCTGAACACTCCGGAAACTCCGTGCTCGAGACCAACAAACGATTGTTGGGGTTTTTGCTTTGCTTTTTCTTTATCATTTTTTTTTTCTTTTCTTTCATTTCTGAACCATAAGGTATTGATAATGACTGAGTGAACATTCCAAAAATCGCCAGTCTGTGTTCACTCTCACTTCGGAACTCATCAGCTATTTTTTGATTCACTTCATCTGTCTCAATTTTATAAGCATGTAACAGAAGCAAATTATTTGTTCGTTTTTGGCTCATTGTTGATCTCAGTGATGTTTTCAATCTGAATGAGCTGGTGGCGTTAGATGCAGGAAGTACCAGAATTAGTGGGGTTTATGTCTCTCAGTTGATTCGATACGCAAGAGCATGCTCTACGTACGAACAATTTCTAAAACAAAACAAGCTATTGACAAACCCAGTTGATTCGATACGCAAGAGCATGCTCTACGTACGAACAATTTCTAAAACAAAACAAGCTATTGACAAACAAGTTAATGAAACAAGAATATTAACAGTCTCATTTAAAGTCATCATCTCGCAAGTGGTCGATACAATAACCTTGTCAGCAAATACAATCCATCATTAAGTCAAATGCTGACTGAAAATTTTCATACTAATTGTTAGGCCATTGATTTGTGTAAGGATTTTTCCGTTTTTACCGATCATGACAAGGAGCACATGGTGGGTGACTGGTCGACAGGGGATGCTCACTCCTCCATGGCACCTGATCCCACCTCTGAGGTTTTAGAGGATCGTGTTTGCTCTGCTCCTGATTTTGTTTTGTTTGAATTGACTTTCAAGCTTGAGTACTGCATGTTCGTTATCTCTATAATTCATTTAAGACTTTTGAAGTATTTATTGTCTTAATGCCAGTTTTTGACTATCAGCTGCCGAGACTTCTGGAGACAGGAGTCCTCGCCAAATTACATAATGTAATTTTTTTTCACTCAGAAAACACCCAAAGAAGAAATCAAACCAAATAAGTAGTCACTCCTCTAATTCCGTTTCTCATTCTACCTCACGCACATATTTGAGGCTTTCATCCCATATATTTCCTTTAATTTCATAATTTGACAAATTGCTAAACAATTATCGGCTTTTTATTGTTCATTTTGAGGGAAAAAATGCCCTTATTCCCGATGATTTTCTCTTGATTTTTGGGCATTTTCAATGTATTGAAAATCATCTCTCTTCGTGGAGATTCTTTAATCAACTTTGGTATATCCTTTGCAATGTCCAGGGTTTCTCTAAGCAACTTACACCCTTAAACAGAATCATTGCAAGTTAGTTTAAGAGCATGACCATAACAGTGTATGTAAAGGGCTCAGAGTTCATGTGCATGAATTTGTGTTGCAACACCTGTCTTAGAACCTGCCATAGAACAGCAATGTCATAACACTGGCCTCGTGCTTTGCTGACAGGCAGATAGAACTGCATGAGGGCGTCTTTAATGCTTGGGTTATTGAATCGTTTCTTCCAATGTCGGCAAGACAATACACCCCTAACATATAATCTCCATGAGCGTTCAATTTTTTATTTATCCATCGAATGAACAAATTAAGTTGCTCATTGTTGGAGATGTCTCGTGTTTCGTCTGCCATTAATGAAAAGAACCCAGTCGATTAAAAAATTAATTGATGCAGGCAACAATTTATCGCAAAACCTGCAACCCCATCACCTGCAGAATTTAATGTTGTATATCTTAAGCAACATATTGATAACTAAGTTTTATTCGCGAGTCTCGTGATCTTATTTTACTCGCGAATATTTCTCGTCGTAAACCAGTTTTATGCAGAATCTTGCCCCAGTCGCGAAAATAAGTAATTATGGATGGATTCCAAACTGAAGAATCACGAATGAAAGATGTCTCGAAGTTAATTTACAGTATTTATTTGTCTTGCTTCTTAGCCTTACCTGAAGCTTGGGTTTGCATTTAGCCTTAAGCAAGAGAAACTGATTAAAGTTTGAATCTTTCTCGTCTTTGTTACCGCGAACAGCAAAATTTTCCGTCCAGCAAGAAACTGTCGAATGTCGGTGATTTTAAGCAAGTTCTCTCGGTTAGACATCTTCAAGACTTCACGCGTCTTTAAAAGAGCTTCTCCAAAATCTTTAACCTCCTCCTTAATTGTCAACTCTTTTTCTGTTGCCTCAGATCTTTAAGACAATTACTTTTCTCATGTGCAGCAAATTTTGCGGTTGCTTTTTTTCTCCATTTTTTAAACCACTTGATATAAAAGTTTTTTTTTTCTTTCTTGTGACAACTGATAGTTTTTCTGAAATGATTTTATGCCATGAAAACAGAACATTTGCTCTCTCTACATAATGTAATATAAAAACGAACCTTTCAATAAATCCAGAAAACATTGACAGATCTTATCCTTTTACCAAACCTTTTTGCTGCAGAAATGATCTGGGGTACTACCGACCTCTGGTGTATGCCATTTTTCATGATCAACTCGATTCTTTTGAACTGGCATATATCTGAGATATCATTTTCTTCTGAATATAAGTGTAAGCAATAAATGTACTGTTTATATACATGTAGTTCATTTATTAGCATAATGTTCCCTTTGGAGATGAATGAAATTTTAAATTTTGCTGTTTTCAATATTACCACAACTTCAGCTACGAATAGGAAATAAATTTTAATGCCAGTTATTTTTCTTGATCGACGTACACACAGAATTACGAACAATATATAATTGCAACTATTAATCATCTATCCATGGGGAATGTACAATCATGAGAAACATAAAATTTGGCACGTGGGAAAATGACTTTAAACAATATTAATGAATCTTTTATACAAAAAAATATTAAAAGTCACAAAGGTACAGCAAATGACAGTAGTGTTTTTTTTTTTTTATCAATTCTTGTCACGTGAGTAGTGTTACACGTTGAGGTCTTGACTCCATGGCGTTGCGTCAGGGTCTTTCATGATACAATCCTGTCCATTGCGTGTTGAGACTTCCCCAGGACAGCTGGACACACAGGAGTCACCAGACTTAAAGTATTTACACATCTGAAAATATATCACAATTAATATTGTGGCATAAAGTGGAATACTCACTACATGTGAATGATGTGTTAGTTTTAAACTTGTATTCGGTGAGCTTACCTGGTGCTCAAAAAAATTTACATGTACTTTTAATGTTCCTGGCCTGGGGTATTAATTAATAACTTACTAAACACTGAGTGTTGCTTGGTCCCGTGCAACCCACTGCGCATTCTGGATGGCAACATCCCACTATTGTGCTGTCATAGCAACGCCCTGGACAAAGTTCATCACAGACTGGAAAGTGCACTAAAATAAAAATAATACTAAGATAATGTATCCAAAACCGCTTCAGGTGGGTGATGATATTGACGATGTTCTTTAATTCTTAAAATCTAAATGTCACTAGTTGTTACTGATTGTGTTGAATTTCTTTTGGGGTGGGTGGGTGGGGTTAATAAGGTATTAAGTAGAATGAAGCACGGGGACAATTATTTCTATATTTACGTTTTAGATATTAATATTTCATATCATTTTTTGTATTGTCAAATGGGAAAATTTTTAGTACCCGGTTAATCGCTAAGTTTTTCAATCGAGTACCCGATTAATCGGCTGTTTTTTTTTTGTTTTTGTTTTTAAAGAATTCTTAATCTTAATCACGGCATACGTGGCCTTTTTTCAGAAACAAATATTACTGTATTTAATCTCTTGTAACATTCTTTTTATTATTATAGTATACACTTTATTTGCATTTAAACTCAAACACACAATTTATTTTAAACAAAGAGTATAATCATAATTGATCATAGTCCAAAATAGAGTAAACATGTTATGAAACTTTATTTCGCACTTCGATCGTCACTTGAGCACTGGCAATTTGTTTGTAATTAAAAAAATGTTTAAAAAATGCTAACTTTGGTGATGTCCAAGCCGGTATTTTTTTTTATACCCTGCAGAGCTAACTGTACTTGTACAAGGACCAAGGCCATCAATTAAATAATTTGTGAAAACTAATCGAATCAAGCCGATTAAATGCATCTGTGAAACACCAGGGATTAAAGAAGTCAATAATTCTGTACCTTTTTTCTTTATAATACATAAAAACGAGATGCTGAATAGCAGTTTTACCAACAGATACTCGCATCGTTTGGCGGTTAGCCGTGTAATCGTTCGACAACACAATACTACTTTCTGATTCCAAGTACCTAATATTTTATTGAGGGCAACACAAAGAAATGCATAAAAAGCCATGTGCCATATTGTCGGTATATAGTGATATATAGGGTTTTACTTGTGAAGGAAATTTATATATAGATATATAAGCATTATTAAGTGTATTGTGGACATACTTGTACTGAAGGCAAATCATTCTGAACAGGAGAGGTTCTTAAAAGTACAGTCAAACCTCGTTATCTCGAACTTGACGGGACAGAGAAAAAACCTTTGAGATATCCGAGGATTCGAGATATCGAGGGTAAAATACTTAAAGCATATGTGGTTGAGAATTTCAAATCACTTCGACATAAAAATCCATGGTATTCGAGATATCAGTGTTCAAGATACCGAAGCTCAACTGTACTTAGTAATACTTTGGAGGAAAAAAGACCAACAAAGCTTCAAAATTAAAGTCCTACAACACCTTAATTTACACGGACTAAAAGGGACTAAATGGTTGTAGGAAATGATTCAAGTTTAAGTTATAAGTCTTTTATGGACATACTTTGCATTTTTTGTAATTGTTAAGTTCTTAATGCATATCACACACCCTGTAATACCTTGTATACATGTACATATGACTATACATGAGTATATCCAAAGTTCTAATGTCATGACGAACTTAAAAACTTAAGTTATTAACATTAAAACTGTAAAAGGTAGATACCATTTACAGATGAGAATTTCAAAATAATCAGTAAATTGTAAAAAAAAAAAAAAAAAAAAAAAAAAAAAAAAAAAAAAAAAGTATATCTAAAGAAATTAGATTACATGCTGATCTGCGCAAACTATTACGGATAAATGAACAAATGTTCCTCTTAAAAATTTCAGTCTAATTTATAAAAAGGAAGTTACTAGCACATTATATAAGTACATGTTTGATATAAGTCGGAAGTTGGCTGCTGTGGTACGTACCGATTTGACACATATTAGGCCCCTTTCCCCAGCAGTAAGCCTCGTTTTCTTTTACACATGCCTGGTCACACACTTCAAGACCTGTCAATTACATACGCATGTATGTCGTTATATCTAAGAATTATTAGATTTTTTTAAGGATTTCAAATGCTTCTTATTGTTAATGCCATGTGTAATTTTAGGAATTTGACCCGGTCTCTTTTTTTTTTTTTAGATGAGTGTGCCACTATATACGAGATGAGTTTTTAAAAAAAAAAAAAAAAAAAAAGATGTTGCATTATTATATAATTTATATAAAGCGACCAAAACATCTTAAAATTAACCACTATTATTGATATATTGTGCGACAATTTGAAATCATTGTAGAATTAATAAAATTCCAAGATGCAGTGCGGTCATCATTTTACAAATTCCAATTAAGACACACACTTACATGTATAGATGATAGTGGCACATTAGATTTCAAATAATATTAAATCACCTACTTGTCATATTGTAGGCGCTTTCTCCGTACGTAACTGGGTTTTTCAGCCCTGGGACAATTACATTCCAGGCAATAGTATTCACAAAGTTCAGTAGTGGGTTCTGCAGAAACAACACGCGTCCTCTAGAGATTTCTGAGGCAGAAAAAAATAAAACGATCACAGCATACTTGCTGATAAACTGTTACAAAATTAATATTTCAAGACCAACATTCAAGGTGCTTTTAGAACTATAACTTTCCAGTTTTAATAGCAGATTTGGTATGTTTGGTACATGTATCTTAAAAGAAAATTACTTGACAAAAGTATGAACAAATATGTAACAAATGCTTTAAGAGATATATACCTGGTGGTAGTAAATAAAATTTTGTCAAAACATCGATTGGTTCGTTAAAACCTTTTTTATGAAAAAAAAATTCTAAATTGTAATCTATTAGTTGGTCTATAGCATCGATTTAATTCTGAATTTCTCAAGTAGATAAAATGATTCAATGAACACGATAGTTTGTCTCCGTCATTATCTTTCATTGTTAAGAACATTAGTCTCTGATTCTCTAGCTACCATCAGAACAACGATCTTGTTCTGCCAACAGAACATACCCCGTAGTGCTGGGAGCTGCAACTCTCTTAGTCCTTTCTGATTATCTTTTCCCGCGGAATCTGTGAATGCCACAACGAGGCCATAATCCTCTCCCATGATATTGAACATGTTGTCACCGCGAATTAGTTTTAAGTTAGTTAGGGGTATGGACTCCATGTCCAAGAGACCAAGCAGAACGTAACCCGTCACAACCTCGATCTGGGAAAGGAAGGAAAGGTCATACGAGATTTTGGCTGAGGACTGGAGGTTTGTGATCTCTAGATTTCCCTCTACATGTTTACATCCCCTGTACCGCCTTAAAAGTGATTCATAGTGGAACTCAGCACTTCCAGAGTAACCAAAACCAACATGGGTGCCATAACATTCTGTAAGTACAAAATATTTTTGAAAGAAGTTAACGTTAGACATTGAAGAAGGGATTTTGCTTTGTCTAAACCCTCAAGCAAAAACAGTTACCTTCAGCCGTATGCTTCAGATACTGTAATAGTTTTAAAAAATTGCCGTCAATCTCACTAAAATGTTTCTGTCCTGTTGAGCTTTAAATGAAATGTCCAACAAAGTTCATTTCTAGCGGATCGGCATAAACTGACAACAAAGACACAGGAAAGTGAAGCATTCCGAGTCTGGTTTCGGTGTTCGTAATATCTCAATGATCATTACTGCCATTAATCTTAGCAACTTTACATCTTAGAATTTATGTTATATCGTCAACACCGATCATTTTCTTTAGCATTGAGTCTTTGACGTAATTTTAATTTTTGTCCTTCATTTAACGTCTCTGTAGAAAATATGAATTCAAAGAATCAAATGGTGCTCTTTAAATTGGACCAAAAGTATTGCGGACAGCAATAATTTCCTGGGACCTTGACTTTTGACCTGGTATTTAGCAGTTGTTCCTCTTGCTTTTTTCTCTAGCATCTTTCTAATACGGGTTTGCCTGACAATAAAAGATTAAACTTTTATACTGTAAACTTTATTCAGACTGTTCATCGCCGTGTTTGGCATGGACCTTTTCATTCTATGGCTTCTTCCCAGACTCTGCCTTTCTGAAGGTAGCAAGTACAGAGATTAAATTGTAAACTGTCCATATAATTATTAACACCTCTCACTGCTTTTTCCTTCACCAAATTCTTAACGAGATTCTTTCTTTATTAACCCACAGACAACATCTATGTAGTAAGCTTGGGATTAAATGGTCAAATACTCTTTTATATATCGAGTCCAAAGGATCAGTATGGTCGCAAACAGACATATATGGGGCAATAAAGTACAATGCTCCCATAAATCTTTTTCAAGGGCATAATAAAGCAATACAATAGCAGTGCTGATCGGTTGGCGTCATCAATATTTTCCCCATTCATTTACACCTTTAAAAAAATTATGAATATTCCAGAATGCATGTTGGGTTCAAGGACACATTTAAAACATTAAAGTTGCCCTTGACCTGCTGAATGGGATTCGAAAAATATTTTTCCCTAACACCCTACATAACAATTAAACCACCCAACTTACGTGACTTTTAACAATGACCACCTTTTCAATTACACACATGTATCTCATGTGACATGTCGGATCATTATGATTTTTTTTCTTCAAAAAAGCCGCCAAGAACCAGTAAACAGTTCATCATCTTCAACAGCAGTCGATTCTTTTTTAAAACTTTTGAAGAAATCTGTATTATTATTTTTTTATGTACATATGTTCAATGTGGTCGATACCGTTCCAACATTCGCCATTTACAAAGCTTTGTTGTACTATAGAAATACAGCTTTGACTAAAAGTTTTCTCTGTAATTAACGGGAAACAAAACAGAGAGAAGTTAAATTACCGGTAAAATACACATCTATTATAAAAAGAGAGTTGAAAAATTATACTCGTACATCTTGAAGAGACACAATGGATTTAAATGTCTTCGTATCATGTAACATTATAGTCAAGGCTTTGTACTACAAAAATTTATTTAACACTTGATATTCAAGATGTCGAAAGAACTATTTTATTTTACTAAATTCAAGTCTTTTATCGGACATTAGTAACTATGAAATGATTGTGTACTTAATAAAACCTGCTGTACGCAAATGTCCTAAAAATAGCTCAATGGAACCCATTCACCTCATCTTTCAAAAAAGAACTTTTAAAAAGAATTTGTTGTTTTCTATTCCAACTTACCATTGCCCTGCCCAAAGACTGATTGTTCTACTACGTCAATAATCTCTACCCCAAAGATACTGGATACGAACATTAAACACACAAAAAACAACTTTAAGAAAACCTCCATCTTCCTTAATAACAAGAAGCTGCTGTTGAAGTGGAAATGAATACCACGTGACTCCGAAAATATTTTAACCTCTGACGCACTCGCTTATCGTTCGAGCGAACCTTTGATAGAAAATATACATTGCGTTTACAATGCTATATGATCTGTAAAGCATCTTATGCTTCTTGTAATGATTTTTTTTTTATGATTTACCCCAATGATATACACTGTATATATATATATATATATATATATATATATATATATATATATATATATATATATATATATATATATATATATATATATATATATATATATATATTCTAAAGATTTTTTTATAACTCTTCGTCTCTTATGGAAGACAATGCTGATGCAAAAGTACATGCATTTATATCACATAGTAGTTATAATCGGGAGGCCCGCGTTGCGTCAAACCTGGGGAGTAAACAAAGGTGTGACTGTTCCTTCGGCATGACTTTCTTTTCATTCTCTAGAAAATATTTTACTTAAATTTTGTATCAAATTATGCTTTCTTTTAGGCTGATTGTATGTTTATAAAATGTTTGAAAAATTCCAGAGAACTTAAAACTTTCATTTAAAAAGCACAATATCAATGAACTCTTCGAATATAAGTAGCGACTTATTGCCGTGCAAGCAATACTAAAACAAGAGGTCCAAGGGCCTTAACGGTCACCTGTGTATAATACAACACTGTGAAAATCCATAGAAGTATAAATTAAAATAAACTGATAGATGAAGATACGTTACCAAAAAAAGCAAGAGAAATAGGATGATCAGGGATGAAGAAAAGAGTCATTCAGTAACAAATCGTAAATAAGATCAATTAACTTGCCTGCACTTTCCAGTGCTAATACACTCCCATTTGTCACCATCACCTTACAATAGTGCTTTATAGTAGCTCAACATATTTTCTAACATTGTTCTCCCTTAGTCTTTAAAGAATATTTAGTCTACAAAGATATTTTATCCCATTTTTTATATCTATTAATTACAAATCTACATGGGTATTAAAACTATGAAAGTAACTTTTGTATATAATACATTAAAAATTCTTATGTAATTCTTTTATTCCTATAATTTACATATTTTTCAGTGATTAATTATTATAGGTGAATAGCAAAGGGGAATAACTTCTCTCAGTGCAGTACAAATTTTCCTACAAGATCGAAACAGCACTGCCTAGGACCAAAACACTTAACCCAGTTGTCCATAATTTCACAAAACACTTTAATAATTACAACTTTATAATCTGTTTGCCTCCTACATGACAAGAGCAGAGAATATTTTCAAAGAATCAATGCATTTTCACTATGGAATCCATAGAGTCCCAACTTAACGCCAGAGCCCCCGACCTAGGACTAACGTCCTTGCACTTACAATTTTCGATTAGGAACCCTTGCTCATCACAATCATTCACTTAGTTTATTTGCTAATAACCCAGGATAAGAAAAGATTTTCAATGAATCAATGAATTCAGACCCCCTGTGCCAAGGGCTTTAAATTTCACAATTTTGGAAGAGAAACCTTTGCTCATCTTAACCGCTTACTAAGTTATTTGGTTATTACTCAGGAGCAGAGAAGAAATTTTTCTAAAGAAATCATGCATTTTTAATATGTGATCAATACAGCCACACCCTAATACCTCAAATCCTGTCCCAGGGGCAATTTTTGGAGAGGAGCCTTACTCGTCATAACAATTATATGCTAAATACCCAGTGGCAGGGAAAATTTAGAAAGAAACTAAGATTTTTCACTATATAATCTAAAAGAACAGCCCTAACACCACAACCCCGGACCCAGGGGCCGTGAAATTCATAATTTTGAAAGAGGCTACATTGCTCATCATATCCATGCACTTAGTTATTTTTGCTTAATACCCAGGAGCAGAGAAAAAAATCAAAGAAATAATGTATGTTCACTATTTACTCCATAGAGCCGCGCCCTCACCAGAATCCCTAAACCTGGGACCGTTAAATTAGCAATTTTGGAGAAGGCACCAATGCTCATCAAAGCAATGCACTTGGTTTGATTGCTTAGTATCCAGGAGCAGAGAATAAGATTTTCAAAAAAAAAAAAAAATAATAATAATAATGCATTTTCACTATGTAATCAATAGAGCACCGCCCTTAACACCAGAACCCCTGCCTAGCGACCGTTAAATTCACAATTTTGAAAGAGACGCCCTTGCTCACCATAAACATTCACTTAATATGTTTGCTTAATATCCAGGAGCAGAGAAGATTTTCAAAGAAATAACGTATGTGCATTATGAACTCTACAGAGCCCTGTCCTAAAACCTTAACCCTGACCCAGGGGCCATGAATTTCACAAGTTTGGAAGAGGCTACCTTGCTCATCATAACCATAAACTTAATTGTTCGCTTAATACCCAGAAGCAGAGACGGTTTTCAAAGAAATAAAGGATTTTCAATATACAATCAATACAGCCCCATCCTAACACCTTAACCCCTGAGAAAGGTGGCCGTGAAAGAACTGCGAACGATAATATTGTTCTCCCGCCTACCTTCAAGTCAAATTTCAAAAGTCAACATATTTGAATGATTTTTTATATTTATATAGATATTTATATGGTTTTTTTTCACAAAACATAAATTATTTGGAAACACACAGAAAGATAACTCTATAATTTTGGTAAAACTTGTGTTTTTCACTATAGAAATCAATGGAAAACGGAAAATATTTTTAAAACATACCCCCGTGAAACAAAAAATCCGTTTTACATGTTAAGAATAATGTTATTTAGCATATTCATACCAAAACTTTTGTTGTTTCACGGGGGGGGGGGGGTTCCCATATACTTACAGACAAATAACAAACGCAAAAAATGATTATTTCATCACAAATTTCAAAGGGCTTCACATCTAAGAAATTGTACTTTCTCAATCATATATGTTTAAATTTACAGGAGTTATTCGTACGAACATATTAATATTCATATCCAAGAATATTTTAAAATCTGCTGATGTTTTAAAGCCTGAATCAATGGGAAACATCGTCTACCCCATTATAAAAAGAATTGTGATTAAGAGTAAATAATTATTTGACACTGGTATTAAAATTATTAATTAATTACCCTTGAACTCTTTTTTGCATTCAAAGTAGTTTTAATGGCCAAATTGTCATTAGTACTGAATTAAATGGGCGTAAAATGTAGCCGGGAATAGAGAGTTAGCATGCGTAGTTCTTCACAATTTTCTCCGTGATCGGGAGGCCGTGAGTTCGAATCGCGGCCGCGACTGACCTAAGTCGATAAAAAATGGGTAGCAACTGATCCTTCGCCATGCGCTCGGCACTTTGAAGTGAAAGTTGCGGGTCCCTTGGATGAGACCTTAAAAACCGAGGCCCCGTGTCACGGCTGGCGTTGGCACGATAAAGATTCCTCACTGCTCAATGGCCCCAAGTGCCGAGTAAAGGTCCAAATTTGAAGCCCTTCACCGGTATATGGTGACGTCTCTATATGAGTGAAAAATTCTCGAATGGGACGTAAAACAACGTACAATCAATCAATCAATCTTCACAATTTTAAAAGAGGCACCCTTTCTCATCATAGCCATGCACTTATATATTATATTATCTATCTATCTATCTATATATATATATATATATATATATATATATATATATATATATCTTAAAGATATATGAGACATCCTTCATTCTTCTTAACTGATAATTGTACTAATAATCTATATAAAGCCCTTTCATGCAGGGTCTGCGACTAAGTTGGAACGCTTGAAAATTACAAAACAGAGTATGGCAACTGGTGAATTTCAAAAGGTGAACTATAGGTCCTGCAAGGTAATACCACCAGTTTTTGGGTCATGCAGTCGTGCTAAAGGTGGTACAAATAGACGAAGTAAGGCTTATTGAACGTCAGGCGCGTAGCTGCCTATACGCAAGTGCGTACACATCATTTTCAATATATATATATATATATATATATATATATATATATATATATATATATATATATATATATATATATATATATATATATATATAGGGAGAGAGAGTTATTTAGAGAAAAAAAATCTCAATATCATCCAGCAAATATTTTTGTTTCAAATTATTGTTTGTCATATTGTTTCGAATCGGATTTTATATTATCGTGTTTATACAATCAAGTTTGAAATCTATTTTTAAATCATTTCCAAATCCATATAAATCATTCTTTAATCTGTAAATGTTCTATAACACATTGATAATTTTTAAAGATCTTTGAGGAATTAAATTTCAACATGTCGTTGAATGGCTTAATCAAATAGTTTATGATTTAAAATACAATATTTATTTTTCTACTAAAATTTGTTATACTTGTCCCCGAAAATAATATTATAAAAATAAAGGTGCAGACGATATACCAATATATCAGTAAAATATTCAGCCTCAAGTACTAGTACAATAACTTTCCGTGGAAGTTATTACTTAGTTTTATTTCTAACGAAAAGCAAAATAGCATATTTTCTGCAAGAAAGTAATTGAAATATTTGGTAAAACCAAGGAGCTTCCGGAGGTTTCGCCCCTGGGTGCCCACCAGGGCTTCGCCCTAGACCTACTGTGGGCCCAGACCCCTGACGTTTTCTGCGTACACTTCACTTCCATTCTGGCTACGCGCCTGAACGTGATGCATCCATGTCGGCTGCCTATGTTGAAAGTTATAGATAGTAAAATTTTGTCTTTGGGGTTGGGGAGGATGTAATACTTGAAATAGCCCGACAATGAATTCTGGGATGAGATTAGTAACAATGCATACATAAATGCTGGTATGCTCAAGATTGCCTGGGACATGAAATCAGAACATTTCAACTGGATTGGATGAGGATGTTATTTAAGAAAGATTTGAACATGCATTCTGACCATTGCGCCCCCTTGCTGAGGATATTTGTTAAGCAGTGTCTTGATAAAATGATTTTCAATTTGTCTGTAATTATAACCTTTTCTAGGGGGAGAGATGAGGAAATGAGATTCTGCTTTTTTAGCTCTATTGGTCAGAGACCAG